TTCTTGTTCTATTTGTCCAGAACAAGAGTCTCAGTTTGGTTCTCTGGGCTCTGAGTGAGAGGAGAGGCCTGATTTGTTTGGGATCCATTTGTTTTGTTCCTCTCCAGCACCAAAGTTCAAAAACAACCATATATTTTCTGTCTCGCTTGTTTATTGTCCAGCTTTCACATCCCTACAGAGCCATAGAGAACCACAGCCTGGACAGCTCTGATCTTTGTATGTAGAGACACATTACTGCATTTAAAGATCCTTTCAGGCTCCTTGATCCTTGTTCCTCTCAGAGCTGATCTGTGCTGTATTTCTTGAGTTCTGGATCCTCTGATGCTAATCACTGATCCTCAGGCCAAAGCTGTCCAGCATCTCCACATCCTCTCCATCCGTGGTAAAGTCAGCGTCTATCCTGCTGTCAGGACCTCAGTCTTCTTCATGTTCTAAAATCTTTCAGTGTATATCTAACACAGTAAAAGCCTTTAAGCTGCCAGTTATAAATCGATTTTTTACATTAGAACTCATCTAATTAAAGTCTGCTAATGCATGTTTGGTGGACACACCTGCAGTTCCTGGTGTTTGCACTGGAGGGCACTCTCAGCCCGAGCGATGATGGTCAGCAGAGCAGGCAGACCGTCAGACAGGTCACTCACACTGGACTGTCCATCCATCTTCTGAGAACCGAGCACCCTGTACTGGACATGCCAGAGGAACCCGGAGAACATGAACACCAGTAAGAACATTCAACTGCGTCATTAAAGCGATAAAATAAAAAGACATCACATCCCCCCAGTTTCCCCTCCCCCACCCCAAACGTACATCCTTAAAAAGACGGTTCTTTAAGGGGTCCTTAGTGGAGACAATGGTTCTTTATAGAACCATGAACACACAAAGAACCATTTGCACAGTGCAGAGAACCATTTTATCATACAAATGATTTGCGTGTTCATGGTTCTATATAGAACCACTGTCCTTACTAAAGAACCCTTTAAGAACCTTTTAAGAGTGTAGGCTAATGTAGCTAACAGTAATTAAAGCTTATACTCTACCAATTAGCACGGTGCTAACGGCATGTCTACGCCATCAGAGTTCAGTATTTCTAATGGACTTATGTGGACTCCATTACATTAACACACTAGAGCCACATTGGTTGCCCAATAATATCACTCACTATTGACGACACATGGCTTTACTGATACGAGTGAAGACATCACAGAATGTGTTTTTTGGCCGCAGCATATTTGCTTTTACGCATTTTTCATGTTCATATGTGTCAAAACTGATACACAAACATTCATAAACCGCAGAAATTAGGAGATACGTAGCCTGTATTAGTGACACAGACACAGACACAGACACAGACACAGACACAGGGACAGACACAGACACAGACACAGGGACAGGGACAGACACAGACACAGACACAGACACAGACACAGGGACAGACACAGGGACAGACACAGACACAGGGACAGACACAGACACAGGGACAGACATAGACACAGGGACACGAACAGACGGCAGATACTTCAGTGCAGCAACTCAGAGTCACCTAAACACTTCTGGAGTCCAATAAACACACCATCACACCCCATCACACACACACACACACACACACCATCACACACACCCCATCACACACCCCATCACACACACACACACACACACACACACACTCACACACCCCATCACACACACACACACACTCACACACCCCATCACACACACACACACACACCATCACACACACCCCATCACACACCCCATCACACACACACACACACACACACACACACACACACACACACACTCACACACCCCATCACACACACACACACACACACTGGACTGGACTCAGTTCTGCTGGACCTCAGTAACTCACCAGCTTTCTGACGGCCTGCTGGACTGATTCCAGGTTTCTCTCCGTCTCTCTGTGTTTCTCTCTCTCCTCCTCCTCATCGCTCCTCCTCCTCTTTCTCTCCTCCTCTTCATCCCTCTGTCTCCTCTCTCTCTCCTCCTCCTGCCTGTGTCTCTCGCTCTCCAGAGCTTTTACTGTCACTGTTAACTCATCAATCCTGAAAAACAGCAATAATCACCTCTAAACATATTAAAATACTCAGTAACACCATCACAGAAACAGCTTCTCTTCATCAAACACAGCAGAGCTGATTCACTCGTTTCTGTTTTCTGTGTATTTTTCTCTTCAGTGTTTGCTAAAAGCTAACGTCCTAACAGTCTGAATTCTTGTTTTCAGTTATTTTCTGAATACTGGTAAGTCAGCATACTGGTTGTCCTGTTCTGTTCCTCAGCCTGATAATAAGAGCAAAGACTTTAAACAGTTTCTACTTCAGTGCACTAGGTGGCGCTGTGTTTTCTATGCTGCAGTCTTCTATGCTACAGATGGTGAGTGAGAAAAAGTCTAGCCATTCACTCACAACAGAACACACCAGTGGGACAGTATGTACAGTTAGCCAGCACTGGCTATCTCATCAAAAATTCATTTTTGTTCTTATTCAAATTTTATTCATATTCATTAATATTTTAAATAACATTACTGACAAACCTGACACGCCCCTTTTAGAGCATTGAGATTAAAGCTTCAGCATCAGGTACAAAACCGTTGCTGAGTTAGCCTAGCTGGATATTTAGTTTAGTTAACTGAGAAACTCTAAATAAAAGGAACATGCCACTAGATCTCAGATAAAAACTGTTAACAATTAGGGCTTATGAACATGAGTCAAGTTTAGAACCATAATTAAGGTCTGATATATGTAAATGAGCTCTATTCTGATTGCCTGTCCTTTATTGGGCCTCAGTCAACAAGAGTTCTTTGCTGAATGGGCAATAAAGTGCAATTCTCAGAGCTCGATCACAGGCAAACGAGAAGAGACTGCTGTAGCTGAATGGGCGGAGCTAAAGTGCTGTAGACTGAATGGTGGGGCTAAACTGCTGTAGCTGAATGGGCGGAGCTAAAGTGCTGTAGACTGAATGGTGGGGCTAAACTGCTGTAGCTGAATGGGTGGGGCTAAACTGCTGTAGCTGAATGGGTGGGGCTAAACTGCTGTAGCTGAATGGTGGAGCTAAACTGCTGTAGCTGAATGGTGGAGCTAAACTGCTGTAGCTGAATGGTGGAGCTAAACTGCTGTAGCTGAATGGTGGAGCTAAACTGCTGTAGCTGAATGGGTGGAGCTAAACTGCTGTAGCTGAATGGGTGGAGCTAAACTGCTGTAGCTGAATGGGTGGAGCTAAACTGCTGTAGCTGAATGGTGGAGCTAAACTGCTATAGCTGAATGGGCGGGGCTAAACTGCTGTACTGTGGAGCGAACGGGAAGATTTAAACCTTTAACCATGTTTTTATACCACATTAAAGTCTCTTATTTTAAAAAGTGAGGAATATCAGTTTTTCCGAGACATGGTTTATTTTTATTATTTTTAATGAAAAAAGCTCTTTGCTGATGGATAAATATGACGTGGACCCACTGACCTGTTCCTCAGCTCCTGTGTGTGATCTTCCTGGACGTCCTGGTCAGTGCTGGACGTCTCGTGGTCCAATTCCTCCAGAGTCATGGGCCCCGTGGAGGAGAACAGTGGAGCAGGACGAGACAGGGTCGGAGGAACACACAGAGAGAAGAACGACGATGACAGACGAGAAAACTCCGCCCTCAACTCCCACAAGTCCCTGCACAGCACAAACAACCAATCCCAGATTTACTAACGTCCAATACAAACCATCACTGGACTGTTACCCTCAGAGATTTAGAGCTATTACTGTCATTCTGATATACATTCAGTTTACACATCATAAACCCCTTAATCACATCATTAAACCTGCTGCACAGGGTGGAGTTAATTATGTCATTCAATACTAATAATAATCTGTATTTACAGAGGGGTTTCCATACTGCTGGCAGCTCAGAGTGCTTTACAGGCCAGAGATAAGGCTTAACAGTCACAAGAGAAACTATGAGTAATGATCTAAAATCATATGGCAAAAACACAGATCAGACTAAAGAGGTAAACACGTAGAGTTTTACCGAAGCTCTGAGTTAAAGAGTCGTAGAGTTTTACTGAAGCTCTGAGTTAAAGAGTCGTAGAGTTTTACCGAAGCTCTGAGTTAAAGAGTCGTAGAGTTTTACTGAAGCTCTGAGTTAAAGAGCCGTAGAGTTTTACTGAAGCTCCGAGTTAAAGAGTCGTAGAGTTTTACTGAAGCTCTGAGTTAAAGAGTCGTAGAGTTTAATGAAGCTCTGAGTTAAAGAGTCGTAGAGTTTTAATGAAGCTCCGAGTTAAAGAGTCGTAGAGTTTTAATGAAGCTCTGAGTTAAAGAGCCGTAGAGTTTAATGAAGCTCTGAGTTAAAGAGTCGTAGAGTTTAATGAAGCTCCGAGTTAAAGAGTCGTAGAGTTTAATGAAGCTCCGAGTTAAAGAGTCGTAGAGTTTTAATGAAGCTCCGAGTTAAAGAGTCGTAGAGTTTTACTGAAGCTCTGAGTTAAAGAGTCGTAGAGTTTTACTGAAGCTCTGAGTTAAAGAGTCGTAGAGTTTAATGAAGCTCTGAGTTAAAGAGTCGTAGAGTTTAATGAAGCTCTGAGTTAAAGAGTCGTAGAGTTTTACTGAAGCTCTGAGTTAAAGAGTCGTAGAGTTTTACTGAAGCTCTGAGTTAAAGAGTCGTAGAGTTTAATGAAGCTCTGAGTTAAAGAGCCGTAGAGTTTAATGAAGCTCTGAGTTAAAGAGCCGTAGAGTTTAATGAAGCTCTGAGTTAAAGAGCCGTAGAGTTTAATGAAGCTCTGAGTTAAAGAGTCGTAGAGTTTAATGAAGCTCTGAGTTAAAGAGTCGTAGAGTTTTAATGAAGCTCTGAGTTAAAGAGTCGTAGAGTTTAATGAAGCTCCGAGTTAAAGAGCCGTAGAGTTTTACTGAAGCTCTGAGTTAAAGAGTCGTAGAGTTTAATGAAGCTCCGAGTTAAAGAGTCGTAGAGTTTAATGAAGCTCTGAGTTAAAGAGTCGTAGAGTTTAATGAAGCTCTGAGTTAAAGAGTCGTAGAGTTTAATGAAGCTCTGAGTTAAAGAGTCGTAGAGTTTAATGAAGCTCTGAGTTAAAGAGCCGTAGAGTTTAATGAAGCTCTGAGTTAAAGAGTCGTAGAGTTTAATGAAGCTCTGAGTTAAAGAGTCGTAGAGTTTAATGAAGCTCTGAGTTAAAGAGCCGTAGAGTTTAATGAAGCTCTGAGTTAAAGAGCCGTAGAGTTTAATGAAGCTCTGAGTTAAAGAGTCGTAGAGTTTTACTGAAGCTCTGAGTTAAAGAGTCGTAGAGTTTTACTGAAGCTCTGAGTTAAAGAGTCGTAGAGTTTAATGAAGCTCTGAGTTAAAGAGCCGTAGAGTTTTACTGAAGCTCTGAGTTAAAGAGTCGTAGAGTTTAATGAAGCTCTGAGTTAAAGAGTCGTAGAGTTTAATGAAGCTCTGAGTTAAAGAGTCGTAGAGTTTAATGAAGCTCTGAGTTAAAGAGTCGTAGAGTTTAATGAAGCTCTGAGTTAAAGAGTCGTAGAGTTTAATGAAGCTCTGAGTTAAAGAGCCGTAGAGTTTAATGAAGCTCTGAGTTAAAGAGCCGTAGAGTTTAATGAAGCTCTGAGTTAAAGAGCCGTAGAGTTTAATGAAGCTCTGAGTTAAAGAGCCGTAGAGTTTAATGAAGCTCTGAGTTAAAGAGTCGTAGAGTTTTACTGAAGCTCTGAGTTAAAGAGTCGTAGAGTTTAATGAAGCTCTGAGTTAAAGAGTCGTAGAGTTTAATGAAGCTCCGAGTTAAAGAGTCGTAGAGTTTAATGAAGCTCCGAGTTAAAGAGTCGTAGAGTTTAATGAAGCTCCGAGTTAAAGAGTCGTAGAGTTTAATGAAGCTCTGAGTTAAAGAGTCGTAGAGTTTAATGAAGCTCCGAGTTAAAGAGTCGTAGAGTTTTACTGAAGCTCTGAGTTAAAGAGCTGCGTTTTCAGATGTTTATTAAAAGTGAGCTCTGAGCTCGACTGGCTAATAAAAGCTGAACTGAGCTCCACAGTTTAGAAGCAGAATAACTGAAAGAGTCTCTCCACCTTTTCTGTGTTTTACTGAAGGAGTTCAGAAGGTCCGAATCTGCAGATCTGAGATCAGTTTACGCACTTATACACTGTTTGTATTGATTATAAACAGTCTAGAATTCCTCACTTGTCGGTGGCTGTTTTCACAGCGTGGCACTGTCGCCTCAGAGACACGGCTCTACCCCACAACATCATCAGCCTGGAGCGCTCTGCAGATACACAACCAACCAGAGCCTGGAACACACAGAAACATCACTCCATCACATCATCACAACATCGCATTATCACACCATCTCGACAAATCACCACCACACCATCTACCCATCACATCATCACACCATCACATCACACCATCTACCCATCACATCATCACACCATCACGTCACACCATCTACCCATCACATCATCACACCATCACATCACACCATCTACCCACCACATCATCACACCATCATAAACTGCTGTAGCTTAACGGGCGGGGCTGCTGTAGGGTGAATGGGTGGGGTCACACTGTTGTAGGCTGAATGGGCGGGGCCACACTGCTGTAGGCATTTTTCCTACTGGTTTAGCTTTTCTTAATTAATTCATACGTAACAGTGAGAAAATGCAGGTGTTGAATGAATGTGAGGCGTTCTAAACTTCAGATTATCAGTATAATATCATACTCAGCTGCTCTGTACCTCTTTCTCTTTGTGCCAGTCAATCTCTCTTTGCCCCGCCTCTTCCACTGCCTTAGACCAATCAGCTGTCAGCTTCTTGAGGTCATCCTGCAGAGTTTGGTTGGCCTCTGCTGATTGGCTGAGCTGAGAGCGCAGTAAAGCGTTCACCTCCACCAGCGCTACACTCCTGAACACACAACACCGATTACACACATTTCAGTAGTGATGACTGAGATACAGATAATCTGCTGACCTGGTTCAGAGGACTTTTAACTGAACTTAGACTTTAGACTAAAACCCTTTTGCTCTGAGTGACTCTAAACCTTACGATTATTTTATTAAAACTAAAGATTGATCATTTCTAATCAATCATAACTCTACCAAACTGTACCAAATGTTCAGTAGTGACTGTTTCATTGACGATTTTGGCTCATTTTGAGCTCAGAAACTCAGCACAGACCAGCAAACACAGCTTTGAACAGCTGTTCACACAGAAAATCATCATATTTATCATTAAACACTAAAAAGTGCTGAACTGCAGAAAATATGATGATTCTTAATGTTCCACATTGATTTCCAGACTTTGGGACACATTTACTTCAAAACAATGGGATCTACCTGCTCACCATGTGGCCATGCTCACCTCTGCTGTTCCTCCTCCAGCCTGATGAGGGCGCTCTCCAGAGTGTCACTGTGCTCATCCCGCAGTGCTCTCTGTAAAACCACAACAGCAGACATGCTGAAATATAGCGCAGATTTAACGGGTGGGCTACTCCAAAAAATGGAAAAACACCCTGAATAACTGACTGTGATCGGTTTTATAAAAGCATCCATCAGTTTTTTATCTGTCCAAAGAACAAAGTTCTCGTATTGAGGAAGTGAGGCAGGTTTATTTGGCCTGGTTTAAACAGGTTTCTGTGTCAGTCTTTACATCAGTGTTATACTGTACCTCTCTCGCCCTGCGCTCTCTCTCCTCTGACTGAACCTGCTGCTCCAGGCGCTCACAGCGCGCTCTGTACTCCAACACCTGCACACAGATCAGACTGATCAGACTGATCAGACAGACGGACAGCACAGACAGGTCACAGACAGGTCACAGACAGACCCTGTTAAAGGTGTCTCAGTACAGTCACTGCTGTATTGGAGAGTTTATAGTGTTACTGTATACAGTGTTATTATATACAGCATTACTGTACAGTGTTATTATATACAGTGTTATGTACAGTATTATTATATACAGTGTGTCTGTATACAGTGTTATTATAGTGTTACAGTATACAGTGTTATTATATGCAGTGTTACTGTATACAGCGTTATATACAGTGTTACTGTATAGTGTTATTATATATGGCATTACTGTATAGTGTTATCATATACAGCATTATTGTATACAGTGTTATTATATACAGTGTTATTATATACAGTGTTATTATATACAGTGTTACTATGGTTACCTTGTTCTGGAGTTTGTGGATGAGCAGAGCCTGTCGAGCTTCTCTCTCTCGCCCCTCTCTCACTCTCCTCCTCCACTCCCTCTGATCACCGTCCATCAGCACAGACACTGACGGGTCCACAGTCCGAGACAGCTACAGACACAACATTAAAAATAATAACAGCAATAGCAACAACAACAACAACAACAACAATAATAACAATAATAATAACAATAAGACAATAATAAAGAATAATAAGCAATAGAAATGATAGCCTTTGTGCCTTTAAGACATATTAAGTTATATGTAAATGAGCTCTGTTCTGATTTGTACTGTGACCCATTCATTTTCCTGTTGAACTATCGCTTTAAAGATATATTATGTATCGTATATTGAATATCAGCACTACAACGGCTGTATCTCCTCACCCGCTCAGTCAGCGCCTGCGTACGGGACTGAAGCTCCTCCCTCTCCGCCCGGCTCTCTGCAAGCTCCTCCTCCAGCCGGGATAACTCCACCCTCAGCTCTGTACGCTCCTCCTCCCAGCCAATCGGCAACTCAGACTCCATTTCAAACCATCAGCTGATAAATAAAAAACAAATCAGTGGTTATTAATCTGTTTCAGTGCTGTCTTTAATGAGAGGAGGAGACACTGACTGCAGTTAAAGAACCTCCCCAAAACACTACCTGAGCAGAAGAACCAAAGCAGCAGCTCTGAAACTACTTAATTACTGAGTGACTTATAGAGCAGCAGTGGAACCTCTTACAACATTCAGCATCTACCATAGAGGCACTGATGAGGTGGAACTGGTTTTTCCATTCCACCTTAAAAGGTGCAGCAGTTACATTCTGGCATCTCAAGCAAAACCCTAGCAACCACCTGGAACACCATAGCAAACAGTACAGTAGTGACAACCTAACAATGCCCTAGCAACCAACTCCAACACCATAGCAACTAGAGATACCAGAGATACCATAGCAACCAAAAAGAAACACAATAGTAACCACAAAGAAACACCCTGACAACTACCAGAGATACCACAGCAACCATAAAGAAACACCCTGACAACTACCAGATACCACAGCAACCACAAAGAAACACCCTGACAACTACCAGATACCACAGCAACCACAAAGAAACACCCTGACAGCTACCAGATACCACAGCAACCACAAAGAAACACCCTGACAACTACCAGATACCACAGCAACCACAAAGAAACACCCTGACAACTACCAGATACCATAGCAACCACAAAGAAACACCCTGACAACTACCAGATACCACAGCAACCACAAAGAAACACCCTGACAACTACCAGATACCACAGCAACCACAAAGAAACACCCTGACAACTACCAGATACCACAGCAACCACAAAGAAACACCCTGACAACTACCAGAGATACCACAGCAACCACAAAGAAACACCCTGACAACTACCAGAGATGCCACAGTAACACTAACAACAATCTGGGACACCACAGCAGAGATACCATAGCAACCACAAAGAAACACCCCAGCAACCACCTTGGACGCTTTCGAAAACTTAGCAACTCCTTAGCAACCACAATGTCCACAATGCTGTATAACACCTCTATAATCATCTGTAATCATCTATAACCATCTCTCCTCTGTATAATGTTCCTGTGGTGCTGTTTCAGAGTGATCTAGAACTCTGGAGGAAGGTCTCGGACAGTAAACTACAGGACCTGATTTTTTATTTATTATTTAATACTGAATCTATTTATTGTATTAAAGACTGTAATATTACTGAAAAGAACAGAGAAGAAACTCAGACGAGGCTGAAGTTTGGCTTCCTATTCGAATTCGCCCGTTCCACCTTAAACGGTGCAGCGGTTACTGTCTGTAACTTTTTATGCAACTGCTGCACTATTTAAGGAGGACCATTTAAGGTGGAACGGGAAAATTAGTACAAGAAGCTGAACCGAGTTGAGTTGAGCCGATACAGGTTCACTGGACTTCAGAGACAGTTTATACTGGTAATACTGGGATGTATATGAATTAAATAATTACAGCAATAATAATAATAAAAACATAAACATTAGCATCTCCGCTAGTTCGCAGACAGTCTGGCGCAGCTCGCTGCGCGGGTTTACAGTGTTTACCTCACTCAGCCCGCAGACTCCGCTCTGTAGACCTGATCAAACCCATCCGCTGTTTATTGATCAGCCCGTTTATTGATCCGCCCGATAGCGGCTCATTAATCCATCACCGCTCTGTTCAAACTGTGGAAGTAGAGCTGTTGTGGGACTCTTATTGTGAAAGAACAGCGCGGGAAGTCTCTCTGCGCGGATCAGAAAAGCGCCGGCGCCGCCTGCTGGACGGAGGCGGACACGCGCCCATCACACTGCCCCGTGTTTGTTTATTTCCACCTTTATACCAGTTTCTGTTTCTACTGTAAACAGTTTGATTCAGTGTTTAACTATTCGCATTAATTTTTCACAGATAAAATAATTATAAAATGATTATAAAATGATTATAAAATGATTATATCACAGCTCAGTACTCACTTGCAAAAGTTCTCTGACGACTCTGCTATCGTCGGCCTCATCACAGACGGAGATGACAGGGAGTACAGAGAACTGACGCAGGACTTTGTGGAATGGTGCCAGAGGAACTGCCTGCAGATCAACGCAGGAAAAACCAAGGAGCTGGTGGTGGACTTCCGCAAGTCCAAACATTCTCCTCCGGTGCCTGTGAACATCCAGGGAATGGACATTGAGATTGTGAAGTCCTATAAGTACCTGGGTGTTCACCTCAACAACAAGCTGGACTGGACTGACAACACAGCTGCCCTCTACAGGAAAGGCCAGAGCAGGCTACATCTCCTGAGGAGACTCAGGTCCTTTGGCGTGCAGGGGGCACTTCTCAGGACCTTCTTCGACGCTGTGGTGGCATCAGCCATTTTTTATGGAGTGGTGTGCTGGGGCAGCAGCATCTCCATTGCTGACAGGAAGAGACTGAATAAGATCATCAGGAAGTCCAGCTCTGTCCTGGGATGTCCTCTTGACCCAGTGGAGGTGGTGGGGGACAGGAGAATGAGGACTAAGCTAACAAACATGCTGAAGAACCTGTCCCACCCCATGCACCGCTCTCTGACAGCACTGAGCAGCTCCTTCAGTGCCCGGCTGCGGCACCCGCGGTGCGTGAAGGAGAGATACCGCAGGTCCTTCCTCCCAGCCGCTGTCAGACTCTATAACAGTCACAGCACTCAGTAGACAGTAGTTTACAATTACTTTCCATGTGCAAGAACTCTCAACATCACTGCCACAGCACTTTACTGTGTGCAATATCTCAATCCACCATGCGTAGTATATTCACTGCGGATCACTGTCAACATGTTTACCACCATTATGTGCAATTATGTCAAGTGCAATATTTCTCCATTTATTACTGTTTATTTATTTGCTATTTTATTCACTGTGCAATACTCAGTACAATACATACATTTCTACATTTTTAAATTTAAATTTAATACTTTGTATATTTTTCTTGTAATCTTTGTGCATATACATATATATCTTTATACTTTTATTGTTTATTCTATTTAAATATTGTTTGTATATTTCCTGCTGCTCTGTCTTCTGTGCTGCTGTAACACCGCAAATTTCCCCGTTGTGGGATTAATAAAGGATTATCTTATCTTATCTTATCTTATCTTATCTTCCATCATGAAACACAGCATCCTTTCACTCACACCGGAATAACAACGAACACACTTAAAAACTGCCCGTTTTACTTTCACTTTATTCAATTTTTGTGTTTAATGAAACTCCTTGAACATTACTGATGATAGATCACATTCCTGTAATATCACAACAGTTTATACCGTTAATATTATGTAATGATTGATTTGAAATTCTTTCCAGTTCTCTATAATAGTGTGCTATAGTGCTCCAGTGTAGGGAATGGTCATTAGGAGATTATTTCTGTTCACTATAATAGTGTTCTATTGTGCTCCAGTGTAGGGTACAGTGATTGGGAGACCATTTCTGTTCACTATAATAGTGTTCTGCAAAAGTGTTAGAGGGTTAGGGGTTAGGGAGTGTTTCAAAGGGATTGGGGTTAGAGTTTAATGTAAATCATTAATATTAACATGTATCAGTGTTATGAGTGTGTTCTCCAGGTGCTGTTACACTGATGACTGTAGGTAATGACGTGTTGTGGGGTCGGTCTAATCTGGTTTAAGCTGCTTATGACAGCGTGTTGAGGTTTAGAGGACAGTGAATAAAGACAGTGAGAGTAACGCTGAGAGAGAGAGGAGTTCATCACCTCCACAGGGGTCAGAGACGATGTTCTATACAGGACTCTGACAGCCTGGCATTCTGAGGTTCTGAGCTGTGGTTCTCTGTAACTGGTTTAACTCAGGGAGAATAATCCTGAGAGCAGAGTTTAATCGACTGAAGATCTGGATCAGATTTTGGCTCCACGTCCAGGAGAAAAGGACACGCCGGTGTGATTTATTTATTCATTTATTCGTTCATTCACTTATTTATTTATCCATCCACGGTGTCTGGGTAGAAAGTGTGCTATCCGTGTGATTTGTTTGTTTGTGTATTTATTTATTCAGCCATGGTAAAAGTGCTTTGTCAGTTTGACTTATCATTGGCCTGTTTGTTTGTTTGTTCATGCCCAGGTAAAAAAATCACAGCTTATGTGAATGTTATTATTTATTTGTTTGTTTGTTTGTTTAACCATGGTGTTTGGGGAAAAAGTCCACTGCCCTTGTGAATTTAATTCATTTAAATATTTGGTTGTTTTTTGTTAGTTTGTTTTTAGCCATTGTATCCGTGTATCTATGATGTCTGGGTAAAAGCAGGTGTTATTTATTTATTTAAAGCTGTTTATTTGTTGTGGGAGATGTTGATCCTGTGGTCGTGTTACCTGTTCCTCACCTACCTGTCGCTCTACCTGTCCTTTAACTTCCTGCGCAGTCTGCTGACTCTGGACAGCGAGAAGCAGAAAGTTACGGCGCGAATCCGACGCAAACGAAGGCGCCGAGGACGCTCTCGACTGTCCACCAGGATGACCTTCCAGCGCAAGAGTACTCACTGAAACAGACTCGCCCTGCTGGACTTTACTGTAGAGTTAATTTCTGTAGGTCATCAGTGTGCAACGTCACTGTAAAACATCACTGTAAAACGTCACTGTACAACAACACCGTACAATATCACTGCACAACATTACTGCGTATCACTGCACAACGTCACTGCACATCACTGCACAACATCACTGGACAGTTAATTTCTGTAGGTCATCAGTGTGCAATGTCACTGTACAATATCACTTTACAACAACACTGTACAATATCACTGCACAACACTGTACAACAACATTGTACAGCACCACTGTATAATATCACTGCACAACAACATGGTACAACAACACTGCACAGCACAACTGCACATCACTATACATCATTGCACAACATGACTGTATAAAATTACTGCATAACATCACTGTACATCATCTACATTACTATAACATACCTATAACATCACTGAACTACACTGTATAACAACACTGACCTTCACTGTATAATATGTTGAACTGTAGACTGAGGTCTGTACACTGCTGTGTGAATGTATGCGATATCCTTTTTGTGTTTTATTGTAAAGCACTTTGGTTTGAAATGCGCTATATAGATAAAATTTACTGACTTACTAATATCATTGTATAACATCACTTAACATTACTGTACAATATCACTGTTTAGCATCACTGAACAAAACTGTATAACATAACTGAATAACATCACTGAAAATCACAGTACAATATAACTGCACACTGTACAATATGTCTGTGTGGCATCACTGTATAACATGCAGCTTTTGCTGAAGGTTAATTAGTGCTGAGCAGCGTTAATGTGTCTAATTTAACAGTCATATATCTGAAACTTTTAGTGGATGAGTTACATAATAATCAGTGAGTGTTCTGAAGAATATGTAATTATGTTTATGAACAGACTCTGCATTTTTCTGAGCTCTACTTATAATGTCTGTGATATTTTATGTACTAAAATAGTTATAATTAATTTCTACATGATTTCTTTCCAACCTCTCTTCATTCGTTACGTCTAAACAGGCTGTTTCTGTTACTGTGTCTTTAAGACTGATAGACACTCACTGAGCTCTTCATCAGGAACACTATACTAATACTGAGTCAGGCCTCCCTCTGCTCTCAATACAGCCTCAGTTCCTCATGGCATGGATTCCATAAGATGTTGCAAACATTCATTTGAGGTTCTGGTCCATGTTGACCTGATCGCATCATGCAGTTCCTGCAGATTTCTCAGCTACACTTTCATGCTGTGAATCTCCTGTTCTACCACATCCCAAAGGAGTTCCGCTGGATTCAGATCCAGGAAGCCCACTAAAGAACACTGAACTCACTGGCACGTTCATGAAGCCAGTTTGAGATGACTTTAGCTCGTTGTCATGCTGGAAGTAGCTGTTAGAAGATGGTATATTGTGGAGATGAAGGGATGAACATGGACAGCAGTGTTACTCGAACAGACTGCGGCATTCAAGCGATGATTGATTGGTATTAAGGGGCCGAGAAAACATGCCCACCCCATTACACCACATCCACCAGCCTGGACTGCTGACACAAGGCAGGTTGGGTCCATGGATTCATGCTGCAGGTGCGAAATTCTGACCCTACCATCTGTGAGCCTCAGCAGATATCCAGATTCATCAGCTCATGCTACATTTATCTAGTGTTCAGCTGTCCAGTGTTGGTGTGCCTGTGTCCACTACAGCCTCAGCTTTCTGTTCTCGGCTGACAGAAGGGGAACCCAACGTGGTCTTCTGCTGTTGTAGCCCATCCTCCTCAAGGCTGGATGTGTTGTGTATTGCGAGATGCTTTTCTCACCACAGCTGTACAGAGTGGTTATCTGTAGCCTTTCTGTCAGCTCGAACGAGTCTGGCCATTCTCCACTGACCTCTCTCATTAACAAGGTGTCTCTGTCCACAGAGCTGCCGCTCACTGGATGTTTTTTCTTTATTGCTCCATTCTGAGTAACTGTAGATATGCTGTGTGTGAAAATCCAGGAGGTCAGCAGTTACAGAAACACTCAAACCAGCCCATCAACAATCTGCCACAGTCACTGAGATCACATTTCCCCCTCATTCTGATGGTTGATGTGAACATTACTTGAAGATGCTGCCCATATCTGCATGATTTTATACACTGCATTGCTGCCACATGATTGGCTGATTACAACAGAATTTCCAAAAAAACATTTCACATTTCATTCATTGAAAATAGTACAAAGACAATAAATCAAATGTTGAAACTGAGAAATTTTATTGTTTTTTGAAAAATATTTGCCCATTTTGAATTTGATGCCAACAACACGTTCCAAAAAAGTTGGGACGGGAGCAACAAAAGGCTGGTAAAGTTGTGTAATGCTAAAAAAAACACCTGGTGGTTAATTGGCAACAGGTCAGTAAAATGAGTATAAAAACAGCATCTCAGAGAGGCGGAGTCTTTCAGAAGTAAAGATGAGGAGGGGTTCACCACTCTGTGAAAGACTGCACCATCAAATAGTGCAACAATTCAAGAATAACGATTCTCAACATAAAATAGCAAAGAACCTATGCTTTTCATCATCTACAGTACATAATATCATTAAAAGATTCAGAGAATCTGGAGAAATCTCTGTATGTGAGGGACAAGGCTAAAAACCAGTATTAGCTGGCCGAGATCTTTGGGCCCTCAGGCAGCACTGCATTAAAAACAGACATTATTCTTTAGTGGAAATCACTGCATGGGCTCAGAAGCACTTCTGAAAACCACTGTCTGTGAAAACAGTTCATCACTGCATCCACAAATGCAAGTTAAAACTGTAAAACACAAAGAGGAAACCAAATATAAACAGGATCCAGAAATGCTGCCACCTTCTCTGGGCCTGAGCTCATTTAAAATGGACTGAGGTGAAGTGGAAAAGTGTCCTGTGGTCCGACGAATCAACATTTTAAATTCTTTTTGGAAATCATGGACACTGTGTCCTCCGGGCTAAAGACCACTCAGCTTGTTATCAGTGCACAGTTCAAAAGCCAGTATTCATGATGGTATAGGGGGGCATTAGTGCACATAGCATGGGTGACGTGCACATCTGTGAAGGCACCATTAATGCTGAATGATATATACATGTTTTGGCAACATATGCTGCCATCCAGACGACGTCTTTTTCAGGGAAGGCCTGGATTATTTCAGCAAGACAATGTAAAACCACATTCTGCATGTATTACAGCAGCATTGCTCCATATTAAAAATGTCCGGTTGCTAAACTGACCTGTCTGCAGTCCAGACCTGTCACCACTGATAACATTTAGGGCATCATGAAATGAAAAATATGACAACAGAGATCCTGAACTGATGAGCAGCTGAAATCCTATGTTAAGCAAAAATGGGAAAACATTTCAAAACTACAGCAGTGTCTCCTCAGTTCCCAAACACTTACAGAGTGTTGTTAAAGAAGAGGTGATGAAACTCAGTGGTAAACAGGCCCCCGTCCCAACTTTTTTGGAACGTGTTGTTGGCATCAAATTCAAAATGTGCACATATTTTTCAAAAAACAATAAAATTTCTCAGTTTGAACATTTGATATGTTTGATATCTTTGTAGTATTTTCCTTAAATATGGTTTACATGATTTACACATCATTGCATTCTATTTTTATTTACATTCTGCACTGATGGTCCTGTATTTTGCATCAGTCAAAAGTCAGTCTAGGCTAAAACTCTCCTTAAAAGCTCTGCCCACAGATATTTACTATCAGGATTTTGTCAGTTGAGTTCTGCAAACAGTTTTTTATCAGTGTTTTAGAGAACGATTAAAATCATTAGATTGAGAAATATGTGTGAATTTAACAGTTTTATATCTTCAACACTTCTCTAAAGCATTCAGAAGCAAGTAAGTGAGATCTTCTCATGTTTGCCAGCAGAAAGTTCTGTTTTGTTAACTCTGTTTTAAATATTGCCTGCCCCTGCACCCTAACGATCTGTGATTGGTCAGTGTGCAGGGCAATTAAGGCAAGGCAAGTTTATCTATATAGCACCTTTCAAACAGTCAGAGTTGTTTAAAAAAAGTAAAGTAAGCACAAATAGAAAAACAAATAAAAACAATATTAAAAACATAATTAAAACATGATTAAAACAATAAATTTAAAAGAGAAAATCATTCAATTAAAAAACAAATTAGAAATTAAATTAGAATAGTTAAATAATCAAACTAAAAACCAAAAGTTAGATTAGACCATCAGTACACCAAGGTTACACACTAGATCTTTAGATTTCAGGTCTCTTGAATCCAGATAGGCAGCTGGTCTGTGCCTCTCATTGCTATTACCAAATAAAATAATCTCTGTTTTATCTTTATTCAGCTGCAGAAAGTTTTGATACAGTTAGTGATGAGCTCAAGGCACTTACAGAGTGAGTCAAGGGGACCATAGTGGTTTGGGCAGAGGGCCAAGTAGATCTGAGTGTCATCTGTATATCTGTGGTAAGATATCCTATAGTCTTGTAGGATTTGGCCAAGAGACAGCATGTATAAATTGAATAAGAGTGGCCCAAGACTTGATCCCTGGGGGACACCACAGGTATTTTCAATTTCCACAAAGTCGTCCCTTCCTGGCAAGTATGTATAATCAGACAACCTTTCCTGTCAAAATAGGTGGATCTTCACCATGTTGAGCAATAAAACCCACCTGACTTTCTAACAACAGGCAGAGTCTAGCTTGTGAGACTAAACTACTTACAACTTAACAGGTGAGAGGCGGGGCTAAACTGCTATAGGCTGATTGGGCGGAGCTAAACTGCTGTAGACTGAATGGGCAGGGCTAAACTGCTGTAGACTGAATGGGCGGGGCTATTAACAACACACTTGGAATCACTGTATTAAAACTTTGTGTTTTGTTGTTTTTACACAACAGATGAACGTAAACGCTTTTGCTGATAATGAGCTTAATTTATTAAATAAACATAAATAATAACAGACAAAACAAGCTTCAATAGATTCAAAGAATTGCACAGAGTCCTCATTTTATCTACATATACAAAGCAAACTTCTTCATTAACTGTTAAATAGTTTAAAACATTAAATAAAATCAGGTGCTCTAATAAACTGCAGCAGATTAATCTGGTCTAGTATGCATGCACACATTATCTCCTTCGAGCTAAACTGATTTCATGTTCTGTTGAGTTGTGTAGGAGAACGTTCCAGAGGGTGAAGTATCGTCCATGATGCCAGTGTAACGGTCCGGTCAGATGCGGCCCCCTGGTGGACAAAAGGAGAAACATTCATTTAACAGTGATATTAATTTTATAGATTATTCTTCGGTTGTTCTGCAGATGTGAACGCGGCGTCTCCAGCTGTTCGAGTTATTGCAGCCTTGTATTTTTAATATTTTGACACATCACACAGTCAATAATATGTGGTCGCTATGGTGATGCAGGAGAATCTGTTAAACTAGAATTAAGTTGACGTTAAAACTGCACTCTTAAAAATGATTCTTTAAGCGTTCTTTAGTTAAGGCAGTTGTTCTATAAAGAACCATGAACACTAAAAGAACCCTTTGCATGCTTAAATTGTTCTTATGGTAAAATGGTTCTTTAGTTTGATGGAGAAAGTGTTTTATATGGTTCTATACAGCACCAAAAAGGGTTCTGCTATTGTTACAAGGTTGACAAAATAATGATTAAAGAACCTTTTTGGTGCTATACAGAACCATCTTTTTTAAGAGTGTGATGTTAGCTGCTGCTAAGTTAGCACACAAGGTGATACTGGTGTTTTTGTTTTTGGTGTGTTGACACATTAAAGTATCTTATAAATAAGCCTGTAACGTCAGTCTCATTTCCTCTGCAGGTCCGAAAGGTTCTGAGCACAGAGAGTGGCATTTCACACTGACACGGTTCAAAACGGAACACTCACAAACCGCACTCTGCATTTGGTGGGATGACAGAATGACGTAGCTGTTCTCCGATTGGCTGATGGTTCTATGTTTATGTCTGTATCGATATAAATTACATAAATGACAGCAGAGCACAGTTTTAAATCCACTATTCAACAAACGGCACAACGTCCATCAGAACAACAGCAGCTACACGTTAAACAGCGCTGCTAACCAGGAGAGAGGAGCTGTTAGCATTAGCTTAGCTAGCATGCTCACCACAGAACAGGCCCGATTCTGTCTAACTGAAGCCACACTGATGAGAGTAACCAGTCTCACGAGTCCACACCAGCGCAGAACGGCACAGTACGGCCCTGAGAACCATTCGGTTCTACGGTTGAAACAAGGCTAATGTGTATATTTACATGTTTGAAATGACATTTAATTCTGAGGATCAGGTTCCATCTGTGTATAAATGTTCTCGGTTCTACAGAGGTCTAATTCTGGTCTCAGACTATTCAAGGTTCTCCAGTTGAACTGTTTCAGCTGCTCTGACAAAATAAACTCCAAACATCAGAACCTCCATAGTTTCTGACCTCTCCAGATAAACAGCTCAGTCATTAGAGCAGTGGGTGTGTCTGTTGGCATAAGCCCCACCCCCTCCCACCCACTGTACTCTGATAGGCTGTCCAGTTGTTATCAGAGCTGAATTCGTTAGTTAATGATGTAGTTAAGGCGTTTCACTCACCGCAGTTATACAGCAGGTTTATTTTGTGAATGTCCAGTGGACTCGGCCCGTCTCGCTGACCGATGGGGATGTTGGGGTCCGGTTTGGGCATGATGGTGGGTAACCCCTCCTCAGAGAAGGCGAACCTGCAGGAGCATTAACACGCAGTGAACATTCAGCAAAGCATACTCTCTTAAAAAAGATGGTTCTTCAAGGGTTCTTTAGTAAAAATGATTCTATACAGACCCAATAACACTCAAAGAACCCACTGTATGATTAAAGGGTTCTTTGCATCATGAAAAGGCTCTTCAGACTGATGGAGAATGTGCTGTAGATGGTTCTATATAGAACCTTTTTGAAAAGGGTTCTTTTCTCCAAAAAGAGTTCTTCTATTGTTAAAAGCTTGACATCATATGGTCCTATGTAGAACCATTTTCTTTACTAAAGAACCACTGAAGAACCATCTTTTATGACTAAGATGTGAGTTTCTATCACGTAATGTGTCACTAAACTGAGTCTTTTGGTCACATGACCACTGACCTTAACAAACAAATCCAACCTGTGAATTTAAGAAATACAAATTAAATGTGATAAAAAACCCAAACAGTTTGTTTTGGATCTTTATCAGAGCACATTCTGAGACGCGGCTGAGCAGGAATGAAGTGAGACTCGCTCCTGCTGTGATTTCTTATTCTTAGTTTTTACACGTATCTCTACAGTGTAAAGATTTTTTGCTTTTCTATTTATAATGTTTATATTGTTCACTGCTCACCATCCCATGGGTAACATAAATCAGTGCCTCATGTGAAATTCAGGTAAAACATCCTTAAATATTTTTGCTTTTATTTATTTATAATTCTTTATATTGTTAATTTTTGTGAAGGATAGAGTTTATTTTTTTTATCTTATTTTTACTTTAGTTTTATATATTTCCATGATGAACAGACACAGAAATGCTCCAAAATGACTGCAAATTTACATTAAGTGACTTAATGTAAAAAATGACTGTTTACATTAAGTTGTACTGAACTGGCATGTTTTTCCTTCTACTATAACGTTTCACGCAACAAAATACTAAAAACATTCTGCTTAAATATTCTTTAAATATGTGGCTTAAGGTCTCTTTCTTTCTCACAGCTGCTCTTTGATCTTTTATGTTTTCCCCCTTTGTTATTTATTATTTATTCTCTGTGTTCTGATTGGCCCTGTCTCTCCTGAGTTTAGGAGGTAGGGAATGGTCAGATTTGAGGAGCTGAACAAAAATGACCTTCCTTTGCTTTATTAATGAGTGCTGCTTGTTTATTTATTCTACCTGAATAAATAAAACTCACGGATGATCGTTTGACTGATGTCTGAATATTCAGTGTTAATGTTCACGGCTGTGTGCTCACCGGCCGTAGTGCATCACGGAGGAGTAGTCATACGCGGTGTTCAGGTTGTTGGTGTGGTACTTCCTGAAGTTGTGCTTCTGACCTGCAGAGACGTTAAACACAGGCTGGTATGCAGAGTTTCTGTGAGGACCTGAACTGAGTCCAGCACAGTCCAGTGATTTCACTGCTCCAGCACTCCAACCACACCTGCTCACTAACTCTGAGCTGAATCAGGTGAGGCTGAGCAGGAAACTCACCAAACTGTGCAGGAATCCAGCCCCCCAGAACAAGAGAAGCCCCCTCACGCCCCCCCCCCGCTTTAGAAGATCATAATCACTGTTTTTGTTAATGTTAAATCAATTCTGTTACAGATACATGAGTAAAGTAACTAATACTGTGGTTCTCTACAGCTCCACAGGCTTCAGATGACCAGCATGAAGCTGTAAAACGAGGAAATTTTAGACCAGAATTATGATTTATCTAGATTTATTAGAATATTAGAATTATTCAGTTTCTATTATGAATTATTCAGTGTCCTTTATCAATTATTCCATGTCCACTACGAATTAGAGTGTCCACTATGAATTAGAGTGTGTTGTGTGGTGTGTGACTGACCCTCCATGATGTTGTCCCACAGGATGGTGACGTATCTGTCGCGGTCAGAGCGGGACTGCTCGTGGACGAAGCCCAGAGCGTGCATGAACTCATGGGCGGCCACGCCGGACCACATACAGCCGGGGCTCTGCAGGGAGAGGGGCTGTCCCCCACCGACCATCCCCACGAATGACCAGCAGCTGGAGCATCACAACACAGACCACATCAGTCCACTGCTCAGGACCATCACACGGTCAGAGTCTCAGATTATTCCACTTTCTGATTACTAATAACTTTATGGTTGTTATTTTATCTTTGTGCTCCTTTATTCCTGATTTCACTACTGTCTTAAACTCTGCTTGGTTGTGTGTTACTTTGAAAAACAAACGCTGATTGTTTTATTTTGTTATTTATTATTGTCTCTTTGTTGTAAAGCAATTTGAGCAGCTTCTTTGTGTGGCAGGTGCAATAAAAATAAAGATGATTATTAATTTTGTTGTTATTATTATTTAACTTTACACAACACCCTTCAAACATCTGGACTGGATTGCTGAACGTGAACTGAGTCTAGTCTTGGCCCAATCCCATTTCACCCCTCACCCCCACCACTTAACCTTTCTGTTCTCGTCTAGGGGGAGGGGGTCCCGATTCTTGATGAGATAGAGGGGTGAAGTGTTGGGGCTACATGACCCTCCAAACGGAGGTTTTTCAGAGACTCCAAACAGAGAGTTATGAGAAAAAAAGAAAAACCGGCGAGACGGAGAACAAGAAACCAAAGAAACCCACAAATGTGAGAATTTTCTCAGTTAAAAAATTATGATACCCGTCATCTTATCTTAGTTTAATGTTGTTTCAGTGTATTTTGCTCCTTTTCTTCATTACAAGCATAAAAATCGCTAACAGTGCTGACGTCTCAGTAGCTAAATTTCCCGTTCCACCTTAAATGGTGCAGCAGTTACATTCTGGCTCCTCAGGCATCAGAACTGCTGCTCCAGGGATCTGGAGAATATCTGACTTCAGCTTCATATCACTGAAGAATTAGGGGTGGGTGATAAATAATTGCCCCCCTCTTTGAAGATCATATGATGCCCTAAATGTAACTAAAGCCCAGCAGCGAGGAGCTGAACTTTACCCTCCTCTGCTGTCACTGCAGACTGGCAGGGTCGCCTACAGATCAGCGCTGGTAGCTGTTAATGAAGTGATGCTCTTTTTATTTGAGGGTCCCATTTCAGAGGGAAGATCTCAACCACTACCCTGTAACTCAGTTCAAAGGGGCAACACACGAAAACAAGGGGGTAAAATTAAGAAATGGGACTGGGCCTTGGACTAAACAGCAGGCCGATGTTGATCCACCATTTAAATTCTTTTGTAGCTTAGGATTAATCCTGATCTGGATCTGGGAGACTGTCCTTCATGATATTTTAGATAGTTTTTATGTAATTGGAATGCATGATGAACCAAAACACACATCCATTATATTCCTTTATTTCAGCAACTAAAATATTTTAACTTGATTCTGATTCTGCTTGTGGTCAGACGTATTGATTAGTCATTAATCAGGCGTTAGCTGTGCTGTTGATCCTTCAGCTCTAAATTAAACAGATCTAAGCAGGTTAATGAACAGCTGAGGATCAGACTCACCCATAGTTGGGGTGGATGTCCAGGAAGTTGGACTGATGTGTGCGGGGCACAAACTTCACACACGTCCTGGAGGAGATGTCCAGCATTCCCATCTCTATGGTGATCCTGTCCATGGTGTCTGTAGAGGAACAACAGGCTGAGCAGGGATCGTCTCCGCGGGTTTAAAGCTATAATTCAGCGGAAAACTGAACTCCTCCAGTTTTTACACCTTTACTCCAAATATAGCTGATCAGCCAGTGTCTGAAGTTTGCTACCCCACCAATTAGCGTAGTGCTAAACATACCAAATGTATATGATACTTAACACAGTATCAGCCATCGCGATGTCTGAGTTTAGTCCATGTTTATAGATGACAGTGAGTCATACAGTGTCAGAAACCACAGAATCGTCTATCAGAGAAATATCTCCACACACTTTCTGATGATTAGACATGCAGCTAGCATCATGCTAATTGGTGGGGTATTAGCTTCCATTACTATATAGTTGGGGGGCATTTATTTTTTAATTTATTTTTGGCTAAACTATCGCTTTAAAATGAAAAAGAAGGGATTCAGACGCTCCCTGATTGAGTGTTTTATTATTTGTAGTAATGCACTGATCTGATATTGTTTATCTGATACAGTTAATATCAGCTAAACATGACTGATCATAATCAATACTGTTTCTCAGCTGTTATAAACTGTAACAGTGTCATTTCATAAACCTTCTATAACACTTTTATTAAATAATGATCACAGTCATGTTGACAAAAATACACTCAAAATGTATTTATCAAATATATGTTTGCCATGTATGAAAATGGCCAAGAATGTATTTGTTAAATATGTATATAAAGTGTATTTATCAGTATTAGTTATTATCTGTGTTCAGTTGAGTGTAATGAAGGTTACAGGTGTAACTAAACGTTCTTCTGTGATCTGCACTGTACCTTACATTAACCATGTACGTCTGCAGTCAGACTCTCACACACAATGTATTTCACATAAACAAGATATCAGATCATAACTGCATTTTCACAGAGTATCAATACCCACAACACTCGCTTCTGTCCTGATAAAGGATCATTTGATCAGATTTAAAATGAAGATACTGGAACACAAACTCATCTCTAAAGGTATCAGACAGTGAAGAGCATCAGACAGGATTTTCAGATGGATCTGATAAACATTTACACACAGTTATTTTTGTCTATGTAATATTTCCCCATACATTTTAAAATAAATGCATTTTAAAATATATTCGGTAAACATGGCAAAATATTCTGAAATACAGTTTAGTGTTTGGAATGTTTTTCAACTATATAAAAATACACATCTATATATTTTTTCCATATGGGCCAAAACATATGGTACAGTACATGATCCTCTGTCCAGCTGTGCTTATGTTTTGATACTGTAAGTGAGAGTAATATGAATACAGTGCCGACTCACCGTACTGCAGAGAGAGCTCGTAAGGCACGTACACAAACCCGTCCACTGATTTGGGCCACTTGCAGCTCTGTCCGGGGCAGGAGATGGTGCTGGAGGGTCCGGTGGTGGCTATATCCCCCTCTATCAGCGGGTAGCCCGTCACACTGGACAGCACTGAGTGAGGAGTCACACACACACATCACTGACCCTATCAGACGGTCTGAGTTTAACTTAATAAACACATCCTGAAACACACACAGCGTGAACACATCCTCAGTCTGCTGTCACTGCGCTGCACCCTCAGCACACTCACTGACCACACTCTGCCCTCTGATCAGCTCTCTTACTGACCACACTCTGCCCTCTGATCAGCTCTCTTACTGACCACACTCAGCTTTCTGATCAGCTCTCTTACTGACCACACTCTGCCCTCTGATCAGTTCTCTTACTGACCACACTCTGCCCTCTGATCAGTTCTCTTACTGACCACACTCAGCTTTCTGATCAGCTCTCTTACTGACCACACTCTGCCCTCTGATCAGCTCTCTTACTGACCACACTCTGCCCTCTGATCAGCTCTCTTACTGACCACACTCTGCCCTCTGATCAGCTCTCTTACAGACCTTTATTCTGCTCTGTTTACTCTACACTGTTTTAAAGATTTTTATCTTTGATTGTTTTTCACTCTTGAGCGCTTTGGTCCTCGTTCACCAGCCGCTCTGACGAAGAGATTCCTTCTTAAATCCACTGAGGCAGTTTCTCCAAGACTCCACTTTCACCAAAGCTTTCTCATTTGGGGTTTGTTCTCACACACTAAGATGGTTCTTCAAGGGTTCTTTAGTAAAGAAAATGGTTGTATACAGAACCATGAACACCCAAAGAACCCTCTGTATGCTTAAATGTTCTCAGCTTGGTTCTTCAGACTGATTTGGAAAGGGGTCTATATAGCACCAAAAGGGTTCTGCTATCGTTACAAGCTTGGCATCATTATAATAGCAGAACCCTTTTTTGGTGCCATAGAATCCATTTCAAAAAGCTTCCATATAGAACCATATACAACACATTCTGCATCAATCTGAAGAACCATACAGTTCTGTATAGAACTCTATATAGAACAAAAGGTATTGATAAGGTTACTCAGAACATGTAAGCACGTCTGCATGTTTTCAGTAATGTTATCTAGTACAGTCTCACTCAGTCTGCAGGGTGAATTCAGGTGATCTGATCTATTTAGATGATTTAAGATGATTTCAGGTGACTTTTACTCACCACGATTAGTCTCGAGGATTCTGTCCATCGGGTTCATTTTCTCTGGAGACATTAACTCCTCTGTGGAGTGAAGACACACACACACACACACACACACACACACACACACACAGACACACACACACACACATACACACACACACACACACACACACACACACAGACACACACACACACACACACAGACACACACACACACACACACACAGACACACACACACACAGACACACACACACACAGACACACACACACACACTGTATTACACCTTAAACATCTCCACAGCCTCACCATATACACATATATAACACAGAGAGAGAGAGAGAGAGACAGAGGGAGAGAGAGAGAGAGAGGAGGGAGAGAGAGAGAGAGAGAGAGAGAGGAGAAAGAGAGAGAGGGAGAGAGAAAGAGAGGAGAGAGAGAGAGAGAGAGACAGAGGGAGAGAGAGAGAGAGGAGGGAGAGAGAGAGAGAGAGAGAGAGAGAGAGAGAGACAGAGAGAGAGAGAGAGAGAGAGAGAAAGGTTACCTGAGAATCCTCGTTTGGCCCTCATCTTTATGTCGTACACTGCAGAGGAATTCTGGAGGAAAAAAGGCTAAAAGGTTAAAACTGCTCTGAACTCACAAACGTGTCTAAATGAAACATTAAACATCATCCAGTGTCTCCAAAATAATAAGTTTACTGGAGATCAAAAACAGTCTTTACTTCTTCTGTAAGTTAATGTTAAGACATTTTATTCTGAGTGATTTTGGAGCGTTTCGATTGGTCTGTTCGTGGTGAAACAGACCGCTCCTATACTCCTGGTGTAAAACAACAAAAAGTAAAAAAATGGAAAACAACCGTCTGTTTTACATCCTCTGAGCTCTGAGCACAAATCTAATTTTTGAATTAGATCAAACTACAGGACCAAGGACTTCTGAAATGATCATATCTCATTTGGATATATCGTTTAAAAACACCAGACTTCTATTTTTTAAAAAGAAAAAATTTAAATGTTAAAGAATCAGAATCTGACTGTGAATTAAAGTATTAAAATCACACTAAAGCTGTAATTTCACCGCTGCAGACCGCATCACTCTCTACACAGCTGCTATTTGACTGAGGTAATACAGCGTGAAGGTGCCGAATGTCCAGCAGTGCTCGGTTCCTGACCTGCAGAGGGAGCGTCCACACCTGCAGCACCAGCCCAAACACAATCCCCAAACCCAGCATGGTGAACTCAGAGCTTCAGACACAGGCAGGAGAACACGTTCTCCCTCAGCTCTAATATACACGGGCGCCGGAGAACCTCCCACGTCCAGCTGACGCTCCGCAGGCGTGAGCAGCACTGCGTCACTGCAGCACTGATATTAGGACAAAGCCTTAATTTGGGGTATCAGCCACATGATTACTACACACACCACCTTCACCACAGCACCATCAGCACCTTCACCGAGGACAGGTCAGCTTGCTGAGTCTGCAGCTCTGACTCAGCAGAACATGTCCTGGACAGCCTGGGCTCTAGACACCTGTAGGCAGGTGCCTTGGGACCCCCAGAGCCAGGGCCCCAAATTAGATATTCTGTACAGGTTGATGTTAAAGAACCGGTAACACTTTACAATACTGTTAATCAGGAACTAAGCAGGAATGAATAAGTAGTGCTGCATTAACACTTAAGTAACTACTCTTAACTACCAAGGACTACTAGTTAAATACTCAGTAGGTAATAGTGAACTAATGATTAGTGTAGTTCACTATTAACTAAACAATAACTACTGAGTCTCATAGAGAATTACTTAGTAACTATGGTTTCCTAGAATAACTACTCATAAATTACCGATCAATTCAACATCAATTGCTCAACAGCTGAGTCTGACAAGGTTTCTGCTGAACTACTAACTGATGTAGCATATTCCAACACTTGTAACAGCAGTAAAATACACTACCCAGTGTGCATCTCTACAATATAATGGATTATATCTATATATATTTCTATTCACAGAAACAGGTATCCCCAGAGAAGCCTGGGGGCATCACACCGCACTGTACTGACTGGTGTCCCTCATGTGTTTGTTTTGATCAGAAACCTTAAAAGGCTAATGCACTTCTTTATATTTGGCAGTGTGAACCAATTTGAACATCAGCCTACAAATGGGACAACTGCTAAAATACTACTGTATTCAGTAGACCAGTCTGCTCACCTCTCATCTTTAGAAAACACCATTCTTTTCTACAGGAGCAGGTGTGTCAGTGTTTCTTCTGAACAGTTGTTCTTCTTTAAAGTCCTCTTGATGGCAGGGTCAGTTGAAGAGAGGGCTCATGGAAATATCTGACTGTATGTGTCCCGCCTTCAAATTCACTTGGTTCTACATATTACCAAGTGATTATATAATTAATGTCTGTTAGATAATGAATGAGGTGTTGCTGTTCTTCCATAGGAGTTAATGATGATCAGGAACAGTATTATGAAGTGAAACACATGGTAAATCACTATTAATGAACTAGGAATTAATGATGATCAGGAACAGTATTATGAAGTGAAACACATGGTAACTCACTATTAATGAACTAGGAGTTAATGATGATCTGGAACAGTATTATAACATGAAATACATTAGAAATAAAAAACCCTAAATGAATGATGTACTGTAGTACAGAAAATAGCTAATAAAGAAATTTTGAAAAAAGTAAGAGTAAATAAGTTTTATTGAGTCCTTTTTATTTGTGAACAGTCCAAATGTGAAAACATCCCTGAGTTAGCTATATCACTGAAAATAATACACCCAAACAAAATGAAATCAAAATCTGCCACTACTACTGAAGGAGAAAGAGCTGAGACTGATTACAGTATGCTCTGCTAGTACATTAATTACATATTTTTCTGTTTCATAGCTGAGGCACAAAGTTTTACTGCCTATTAGCTTAGCTCACATTAGCTAAAGTAACTAGCTTGTTAGCATGCACTCATAACAAAACATCAGCAGCAGCTTTAGGTTTAATAAAGCACTAACATGTGCTTATAATTCTGAAACATCACGGTAAAACAGACATCATACAAGAAGACCAAACCCACTTAGCTCAGATTAGTTAGCGAGTCAGCTTAGTAGTTCAGCAGGGACCTTGTCAGACTCAGCCACTGAGTAATTCATGTTTAATTGATCGCTAATTTATGAGTAGTTATTCTAGGAAACCATAGTTACTAAGTAATTCTCTATGAGACTCAGTAGTTATTGTTTAGTTAATAGTGAACTACCCTAATCATTAGTTCACTATTACCTACTGAGTAGTTAACCAGAAGTCCTGGGTAGTTAAGGTTAGTTACTTAAGTGTTAATGCAGCACTACTTATTCATTCCTGCTTAGTTCCTGTTTAGTTGCTTATTAACTACAAAACAGTGTTGTAAAGTGTTACCAAAGAACCTATTCTGAAGGATATGTGTGCATGCATGTGTGTGTGCTCTGTTGTTAGTAAATTGTACTTTAACTTATGTCTAGATTTATTTTTATTTTCTATTTTTCTGCGTTCCTTCAATCACCTTCAAACACTGACCAGAACATCACAACCTACTGAGAAAACCAGCACAGACCAGCATGACGTCCAAACAGGTCTAAGCTGGTTTATGCTGGTGTGGCGCTGCTTTAGATGGTCACCCAGCCATAGTCATGTTGGTTTACCAGCATAATAGCATCCAAGACACCGCAGCCATGATTCACACTGTGTGAAAAGTTCATGATGAATAGGCCAATAGAAACGCTCCGTCACCTAAACCACACCTCTTTACATCAACTTACACTAGAAGGAAAAAAGGTTTTTGCCCTCTGATGAAAAGCTGCCAATATAGAGATGCCTGTTTATTCACTGTTAGCTCTGTGTTTAAAGAGAAAACAATGAGAAGGTTCTCAAGACAAACACTGAGAAGTTCATAACATTGAGCATCTGTTCTTAGGAAGGAATTCCTTCTTAGAACCCACTTATGCAGTTTTCATAAGATTCTGACATTCACCAGCGTCCTCTTATTTGGGATTAGTTCCTACACAAAATTAAAAAGATGGTTCTTCAAGGGTTCCTTATTAAAGAAAATGTTTGCATACAGAACCATGAACACTCAAAGAACCCTTTGTGTGCTTAAATGGTTCTCTGCATGATGAAATGGTTCTTATATTGATGGAGAATGTGTTGTATATGGTTCTATATAGCACCTAAAAGGGTTCTGCTATTGTTACAAGCTTGACATTGCAATAATAGGAGAATCCTATTACATACAACATCTTCTATATCAACCTGAAGAACCACTTTAACATGCAGAGAACCATTTAAGCACACAGTGTGTGTTCATGGTTAAAGAACCACTTTCTTTACTAAAGAACACTTGAAGAACTATCTTTTTAAGAGTGTAGATAAGAACAGACTCAAGAGCACAAAGGTGAGAACAGTTCTGTGCTTTAAGAACACGTCATGAATCTGACTGAGACTTTTTCTTAGGATCTTTCTCAAGAACACACTTAAGCAGAACACACTGGAGAACGAGGCCCAATGTCTCCAACCTCCTGTCTCATCGTTTGTGACGATGCTGCTTCAAACTATTCTCACATTATTCCAATGAGTGTAGATAAAGCAGTGAGCAGTGTGTGAGTGAGCTGAATTCTGTATGTCAGTCTCACCTGTTAGCTGGTCCTCACCTGATAAACACTGAGTGTGTTTACATGCACTCAATAACCCGATCATAATCTGATTTTTGCAGTTATCTGATTATTAAGTGGTCATGTAAACAGCACACTCTGATTTCTTAGATCAGAGTAAGGTCTAGAAATCTGATTAAGAAATCTGATAAAGAGGCTGGATTTGAGCTCAGTAATCAGATTTCTCAGTGCTGTAAACTCTTACTCTGATTTCTTTCGGATTTCTCAGTCTGCACATGTGCGGAACAGTGCCAGGAATAAGTGAGCAGCTTCGCCGCAAAACGCAGCAAAACTAAATACAAGCTTGATGAAATTAATGATCTGAATATTCTTCATCTTCTAGATGATGTTTGTTCATATTTTCAGGTAAAGTCGTGCAGTGTTTAAAATGTTTTTTGTGTGATATCTGAGTTAATTATTCTGTAAAAGCGTAAAATGACTGAAATCAATGTTTAACACATTTACAAATCGACACATCTGCTTTGCTAAAAGAGTGACAGTGACGATCAAGTCGACCCCAGTTTAGTTAAATGTGTTTTAGTGATCAAGACAAACTGATATTATTTATAAATGTTTATTAGTGTGTGTTTACATAATAATGACATAATTCCATAGGTAAATAAACAGCTCTTCATTAATCACCAGCACACATTTCTATTATTTCAGGTTACAGCTGTAAAACTTCATCACTGCTTTGTTAAAATTCAGTTTGTACAAATCGTTAAATGTGCTAACATTTAAAATTAATAAAAAATTATTCTAATTACTCTCATTTCCTTCAGCACAGTTAGTACATGATCAGTTCAGTGTCTTCGTGTCACACAGACGTCTGCAGGTAATTAATCACACTTGTACAGTTTGTTGATTTTAATGATGTCCAGTCTACTGGGACCGAGGGCCTGTCCCAGCCTCGCGCTCTGGTTCCGCTTTGGGACGATAGTGGGATTCCCATCCTCGGAGTACGCATACCTGCAAACACAGAACAGTGTCCTCCTTAAACTGACTATACTGATCACCATTAAAGAGACAGTTCAACAAATATTATAATTTACACAGTTCCCCCACCCCCCAATGTAGCCAGTCAGACACAACGACTTTGATGCTTCTTTATTTTTAGAACTGAAGCTACGAGGCTAATGTAGCTAACGAGCTATGGAAGCTTACAGCCTATCAATTAGCATGGAGCTAACTGTATGCTACGTCAAATGTTTTAGCAAAGTTGGCTTCCTATTTGCTAGCTTCTTATTTCAATTTTCCGTTCCACCTTAAATGGTGCTGCACGGTAACTAACCATTTAAGGTGGAATAGAAAATTCCACTAAGAAGCTGTTGATTAGTGAGACAACAGCATTTTACAGTGTGAGAAACCACATAAGCAAGTCTGAATGAGATTAAAAAAAGCAAGTGCTAAGCTAATTGGTGGGGTAGTAGCGCTAAGCTAATTGGTGGGGTATAAGCTTCCGTTACTTTAGCCTCGTCGCGCCGCTTTAAGGAAGCTGTCTCTTTACAGAACTCACTTTCCGAAGTGCATGATGGAGCCGTAGTCGTATGGCGTGTCCATGTTGTTTATTCTGAACCTCTCAAAGTTCCTCAGGCGATCTGCAGAGACAGAGAGAAGATCGGTCAGCGCTGACCGGTGGGCTGGAGATGTTCAGCGTCTCAGTGAGGCACAGCTGCTTTACCTTTCCAAATGTTTTTCCATAGGATGCTGATGTATTTGTCACGGTCAGCACGGGACTGCTCGTGGAGGAAGCCCAGAGCGTGCATCAGCTGATGAGAGACCACCGCAGCACCCACGCAGTCTGGAGTCTGCAGGGAGAGAACCTGTCTGCCCCCAGTGGCGCCGAAATACGACCAGCACCTGCCAGAACATTAACAGTGTTTATTTTAGAATATGTACATTATTACTGCATCATTTACAATGTCACTGCAACAATTACATTACTGCAAAATTTACAGTGTTACAGCAACAATTTCATAACAGAAAAAAACACATTACTCCAGCCCTCACAGCATTACTGCAGTAATACTGAAAAATTACAATATTACTCAAATTCAAAATATTACTTGAAAATTACAATATTCATCCAAAATTCTAAATATTACTTGAAAATTACAATATTTATTAAAAATTCAAAATATTACTGAAATATTACAATATTACTCCAAAATCAAAATATTACTTGAAAATTACAATATTTATCCAAAATTCAAAATATTACTTGAAAATTACAATTTTTATCCAAAATTCAAAATATTACTTAAAAATTACAATATTAGTCCAAAATTCAAAATATTACTTGAAAATTACAATATTTATCCAAAATTCTAAATATTACTGAAAAATTAGAGTATTATTCTAAAATCAATATATTATTTGAAAATTACAATATTTATCCAAAATTCAAAATATTACTGAAAAATTACAATATTACTCCAAAATTCACAATATTATTCAAACAAATTACAATATTTATAAAATATGTACAGACGTCTCTCACCCTGATTTGGGCTGAATGTCCAGGTAATCTTTCTCATGTGTTTTAGGAACGAAGCGCACACACGTCCCTCTCTCTATCAGCTTCATCCCTCGCTTTATTCCACTCTCATCCAGCTCACCTGCACTCAGACAGACACAGCGCAGAGTCACCCACACAGGATTAAAGAGCTCATATCCTACATGTGTCATGCATTTTATTTATTCTTGTGTTTTTGTCACTGTGTCAGTAAAACTAATATATGCAAATGAGCTTTGCTCCGATTGGTTGACCTGTATTGTGCATCATTCAAAAAGTGCTCTGGGCTGAAAGACTCCTTATAGCTTTAGTGTGAATAGGTGGGGCTAAACTGCTGTAGTCTGAATGGGTGGGGCTAAACTGCTGTAGGCAGAATGTAAATACATGACAAAAATAATTAATTCAGGCAGTTTAGTTTCCATAAATGGGCTGTATGTACTTGACAATGTTTACATGCTACATCAGATGTTTAAAAATTCAGTTTTTCGTGATACTGATATATTTCCTTATATCCTGTAAGTTCCTCTGAGAGGAGCACTTACTGTAGAGCGGCGAGAGCGTGTAGGCTATATAAACATGACCATCCACAGACTTATTCCACAGGCAGCTCTGTGCGAAGCAGCTCCTCTCATTGTGTCTGGACACAGCGATGTCTCCCTCTCTGATTCTGACCCCGTCCACCGCGAACACTTCTACAGCACACAGACAGACAGGCTCACCCTGACTCACCCCAAAACATTTAATATCATCAACATAAACAGAAACAGGACCTTCCTCACTCACCCTGATCGTCATTCACTGTTATGATGGTGTCCATTGCAGTTTTCACACTGTTCTTCATATTATCTGCAGCACAAACCACACAGGGGACAATCTTCAAAGGGGAATTCCACTGAACTTTCCAAAACTCTGCATAATTAAGTGTTTAAGATGTAAACAGAGTGGTTCAGAGCAGTTCAGAGTGGTTCAAAGTGGTTTGGTGTGAAACGCTCCATTCTATAAAAACTTACCGAGTCAGAATCAGAGATTTCTGCTCCACATTCAAAGCGTTTCTATAATCGCTCCACTCCAGGTTTTTTATTTCCCGCTTAGCTGACACGTCAGAGAAACTCTGCTCCATATGATCCACTCTTATATATTCACTTTATCTCTTGAATGTATGGCGACACTACACACTTTATTTCATTACTTATATAATTAATGGTTTTTATTTAATGGAAACTAGTTAATCATTCTGAGCTACACAGGCTTTTTCAGAAGGTTTAGGCTTGAAGCGAATCGCAAGCTAGAAATCTGCTGAAGGTAAACAAATGTATAAGCTTTTAACACCTTCTCCTTTATCATTCTCAAAGTGGACGAGTCTGACTCTGTGACATCTGTAGATGTTGAACCAGACGTCCACCTCTAAAAGCTCCCTCACAGAAAGTTCCTACATGAAATGGTTATGAATTCACTGCCTGATGACTGAGACACTGTTTTATGATAGTTTAGAGAACTTAAACTCCATTCATGGTGGAGGGATACATGCAGGGCGCTGTGAGGCAAAATAGTCCCCAAAGAAAACTTATTATTTCAGATTCTCCACTATTTTCCATCATCAACATTCCATATAAACTCAGAAGACTCGTGTAGGTTCACTGGTGGTTCTGGATAGTAAATAAAATGTCTATATCTGTGTTGTAGTCATGGCGACCCCTGGTTCCTATCACCACCACTGTAAAGACATCTGAACCATTTCACACCAAACCACTCTGAATCTCTCTGTTTACATCTCACACACTGAACTATGAAGACAGACTGAAAAATCAGTGGAATTCCCCTTTAATATTATAAACAAAGTATAATCTTTAACACTATGAACTCATAGAGAATTTAATCTTAAATATAACAGACACTATAAAATCTAATATGACTGAAAAGAAAATCACAGATCATAGAACACTACCTGAACCTTTTGTGGTTCCAGCATTGAACTCCTCAGAATTCTACAAGTATTCAGACAAATATAGAACTCAGTCACAATCAATACATAAAAACCATTAAAATAAAGGAACAGAAGGATCTGGTGTTTTACCTTAGTACTCAGAGCAAAGCCCTGCAGCAGAGTGAAGATGAAGATGATGAAGGCTGATGAACTCATGGTGTCTGAGGTGCTAGAGTGTCTGCTGGAGTTCAACCCAAACCTTTTAACCTTTTCCACAACACAGAAACCTGATCATTAACTCCTCCATGAGCTCAGAACAGCTGAGTGAGCTGAGCTAATCAACACCTTTAAACCTACTGTCAGAGTCAGAGTCACGGCTAACATCTACAGCCTAAAACACCTACAGCTCAAAACACCTACAGCCTAAAACATCTACAGCTCAAAACACCTACAGCCTAAAACACCTACAGCTCAAAACAGCTACAGCCTAAAACATCTACAGCTCAAAACACCTACAGCCTAAAACATCTACAGCCTAAAACCTCTACAGCTCAAAACACCTACAGCCTAAAACATCTACAGCTCAAAACACCTACAGCCTAAAACACCTACAGCCTAAAACATCTACAGCTCAAAACACCTACAGCCTAAAACACCTACAGCTCAAAACATCTGCAGCCTAAAACATCTACAGCTCAAAACATCTACAGCCTAAAACACCTACAGCCTAAAACATCCACAGCTCAAAACAACTACAGCCTAAAACACCTACAGCCTAAAATATCTACAGCCTAAAACACCTACAACCTAAAACACCTACAGCCTAAAACATCTACAGCCTAAAACACCTACAGCCTAAAACATCTACAGCCTAAAACACCTACAGCTCAAAACACCTACAGCCTAAAACACCTACAGCCTAAAACACCTACAGCCTAAAACACCTACAGCTCAAAACACCTACAGCCTAAAACACCTAGAGCTCAAAACACCTACAGCCTAAAGCATCTACAGGTCAAAAACACCTACAGCCTAAAACACCTACAGCCTAAAACATCTACAGCCTAAAACACCTACAGCTCAAAACACCTACAGCCTAAAACACCTACAGCCTAAAACACCTACAGCCTAAAACACCTACAGCTCAAAACACCTACAGCCTAAAACACCTAGAGCTCAAAACACCTACAGCCTAAAGCATCTACAGGTCAAAAACACCTACAGCCTAAAACACCTACAGCCTAAAACATCTACAGCCTAAAACACCTACAGCCTAAAACATCTACAGCTCAAAACACCTACAGCCTAAAACACCTACAGCTCAAAATATCTACAGCCTAAAACATCTACAGCTCAAAACATTTCCAGCCTAAAACACCTACAGCCTAAAACATCTACAGCTCAAAACACCTACAGCCTAAAACACCTACAGCCTAAAACATCTACAGCCTAAAACACCTACAGCCTAAAACATCTACAGCCTAAAACACCTACAGCCTAAAACACCTACAGCCTAAAAACACCTAGAGCTCAAAACACCTAGGGCCTAAAACATCTACAGGTCAAAACACCTACAGCCTAAAACACCTACAGCCTAAAACATCTACAGCCTAAAACACCTACAGCCTAAAACATCTACAGCTTAAAACATCTACAGCTCAAAACATCTACAACCTAAAACACCTACAACCTAAAACACCTAGAGCTCAAAACATCTACAGCCTAAAACACCTACAGCCTAAAACACCTACAGCTCAAAACACCTACAGCCTAAAACACCTAGAGCTCAAAACATCTACAGCCTAAAACACCTACAGCTCAAAACATCTACAGCTAAAAGCACCTACAGCCTAAAACACCTAGAGCTCAAAACATCTACAGCCTAAAACACCTACAGCTCAAAACATCTACAGCTAAAAACACCTACAGTCTAAAACATCTACAGCTAAAAACACCTACAGCCTAAAACACCTACAGCCTAAAACATCTACAGCCTAAAACACCTACAGCCTAAAACATCTACAGCCTAAAACACCTACAGCCTAAAACACCTAGAGCTCAAAACACCTACAGCCTAAAACATCTACAGGTCAAAAACACCTACAGCCTAAAACACCTACAGCCTAAAACATCTACAGCCTAAAACACCTACAGCCTAAAACATCTACAGCTCAAAACACCTACAGCCTAAAACACCTACAGCTCAAAATATCTACAGGCTAAAATATCTACAGCTCAAAACATTTCCAGCCTAAAACACCTACAGCCTAAAACATCTACAGCTCAAAACACCTACAGCCTAAAACACCTAGAGCTCAAAATATCTACAGGCTAAAATATCTACAGCTCAAAACATTTCCAGCCTAAAACACCTACAGCCTAAAACATCTACAGCTCAAAACACCTACAGCCTAAAACACCTACAGCCTAAAACATCTACAGCCTAAAACACCTACAGCCTAAAACATCTACAGCCTAAAACATCTACAGCCTAAAACACCTACAGCCTAAAACATCTACAGGTCAAAACACCTACAGCCTAAAACACCTACAGCCTAAAACATCTACAGCCTAAAACACCTACAGCCTAAAACATCTACAGCTCAAAACACCTACAGCCTAAAACACCTACAGCTCAAAATATCTACAGCCTAAAACATCTACAGCTCAAAACATTTCCAGCCTAAAACACCTACAGCCTAAAACATCTACAGCTCAAAACACCTACAGCCTAAAACATCTGCAGCCTAAAACACCTACAGCCTAAAACATCTACAGCCTAAAACATCTACAGCCTAAAACACCTACAGCCTAAAACACCTACAGCTCAAAACATCTACAGCCTAAAACACCTAGAGCTCAAAACACCTACAGCCTAAAACATCTACAGGTCAAAACACCTACAGCCTAAAACACCTACAGCCTAAAACATCTACAGCCTAAAACACCTACAGCCTAAAACATCTACAGCCTAAAACACCTACAGCCTAAAACATCTACAGCTTAAAACATCTACAGCTCAAAACATCTACAACCTAAAACACCTACAACCTAAAACACCTAGAGCTCAAAACATCTACAGCCTAAAACACCTACAGCCTAAAACACCTACAGCCAAAAACATCTACAGCTCAAAACATCTACAGCTAAAAACACCTACAGCCTAAAACACCTAGAGCTCAAAACATCTACAGCCTAAAACACCTACAGCTCAAAACATCTACAGCTAAAAACACCTACAGCTCAAAACATCTACAGCTAAAAGCACCTACAGCCTAAAACACCTAGAGCTCAAAACATCTACAGCCTAAAACACCTACAGCTCAAAACATCTACAGCTAAAAACACCTACAGCCTAAAACACCTAGAGCTCAAAACATCTACAGCCTAAAACACCTACAGCTCAAAACATCTACAGCCTAAAACACCTACAGCCTAAAACACCTACAGCTCAAAACATCTACAGCCTAAAACACCTACAGCCTAAAACACCTACAGCCTAAAACATCTACAGCCTAAAACACCTACAACCTAAAATATCTACAGCTCAAAACACCTATAGCCTAAAACACCTACAGCCTAAAACACCTACAGCTCAAAACACCTACAGCTCAAAACACCTACAGCCTAAAACACCTACAACCTAAAACACCTACAGCTTAAAACACCTACAGCTCAAAACATCTACAGCCTAAAACACCTACAGCTCAAAACATCTATAGCCTAAAAAACCTACAGCTTAAAACACCTACAGCTCAAAACACCTACAGCTTAAAACACCTACAGCTCAAAACATCTACAGCCTAAAACACCTACAGCTCAAAACATCTACAGCCTAAAACACCTACAGCCTAAAACACCTACAGCTCAAAAGACCTACAGCCTAAAACACCTACAGCTAAAAACACCTACAGCCTAAAACATCTACAGCCTAAAACACCTACAGCTCGAAACACCTACAGCTCAAAACACCTACAGCCTAAAACATCTACAGCCTAAAACACTCACAGCCTAAAACACCTAGAGCTCAAAACACCTACAGCCTAAAACATCTACAGCTCAACACATCTACAGCCTAAAACATCTACAGCTCAAAACACCTACAGCTCAAAACACCTACAGCCTAAATCACCTACAGCCTAAAACACCTACAGCTTAAAACACCTACAGCCTAAAACAACTACAGCTCAAAACATCTACAGCTAAAAACACCTACAGCTTAAAACACCTACAGCCTAATACACCTACAGCTCAAAAAATCTACAACTAAAAACACCTACAGCCAAAAACATCTACAGCTCAAAACATTTCCAGCCTAAAACACCTAGAGCTCAAAACATTTCCAGCCTAAAACACCTACAGCCTAAAACACCTACAGTTCAAAACATATACAGCCTAAAACATCTACAGCCTAAAACACCTACAGCCTAAATCATCTACAGCCTAAACATAAACAACCTAAAATACCTACAGCCTAAAAAATCTACAGCCTAAAACATCTACAGCTCAACACATCTACAGCCTAAAACATCTACAGCCTAAAACATCTACAGCTCAAAACATCTACAGCCTAAAACACCTACAGCCTAAAACATCTACAGCTCAAAACATCTACAGCCTAAAACACCTACAGCCTAAAACATCTACAGCTCAAAACATCTACAGCCTAAAACATCTACAGCCTAAAACACCTACAGCCTAAAACATCTACAGCTCAAAACATCTACAGCCTAAAACACCTACAGCCTAAACCATCTACAGCTCAATACATCTACAGCCTAAAACACCTACAGCCTAAAACATCTACAGCTCAACACAACTACAGCCTAAAACACCTACAGCCTAAAACACCTACAGCCTAAAACATCTACAGTTCAACACAACTACAGCCTAAAACACCTACAGCCTAAAACATCTACAGCCTAAACATAAACAGCCTAAAATATCTATAGGCTGAACATATATAGTTTAAACATCTACATCTTAAACATATACAAAAACACCTATTGTCTAAAACATCCACAGTCCAAACATCTACAGCTCAGCTTAAACCACCTACAGCCTAAACCACCTACAGTCTAAACAACCTACAGCCTAAACCACCTACAGTCTAAACAACCTACAGCCTAAACCACCTACAGTCTAAACAACCTACAGCCTAAAGCACCTACAGTCTAAACCACCCACAGTCTTAAACACCTAGTCTAAAACATCTACAGTCTAAAATATCTACAGGCTAATATGTCTACAGTATAAAACACCTAGTCTTAAATACTTATCAGATGAAACACCCAGAGTCTAAACCACGTAAAACACCTACAATCTATTATACCCACAGCCTGAACCACCTACAGTCTACAATACCTACAGTCTAAAATGCTTAGTCTAGAACACCTACAGTCTAAAATGCGTACAGTCTAGAACATGTACAGTCTAAAAACCCTATAGCCTAAAATTGCAACTAAACAGTAACACAGCCTATAGCCTAATTCTATAACTAGAGCTAAACACTATCCCCTAAAGCCTAACCATAAAACTACAACTATAATTTAATCTTAACACCTGCAGCCTAACCCTAAAACTACAAGTAAACAGTAACACCACCTATAGCCTGACCCTAAAACCAGAGCTAAACTCTAACACCTAAAGCCTAACCATAAACCTACAACTTGACACTAACATCTACAGCCTAAGATACCTAAAGTATAACCATAAAGCTAGGCCTACAACCCAATACTAACACCTACAGCCTAAAACACCTACAGCCTGAACTTAACACTACAACTAAACACTAACACCAACAACCTTAAACACCTACAGCCTAAACTTAAAACTAAAACTAAACACTAACACCAACAGCCTTAAACACCGACAGCCTAGAATCAAAACTACAACTAAACACTAACACCTACACCCTAAAACACCTACAGCCTAAAACACCTACAGCCTGAATTTAAACACTTAGTGCGTAACCCTAAAATCAAACCTACTTAGTTTAAAATTAGCACAAAAGCTAAACTTAAGTCTGACCCTTAAACATTTAACACTAAAATTAAATTCATGTCTGATCCTTTAAACTTTAAACGATCAAAGCTGAATCCATCCCCTAAACCTCTTAACCTTTAACCTCAGTCAGGTGTGCTCGCTCTGGGTCACTGCTGCTGCTTCTGTTTTCATAAGCTGAGGTTCTGTTACGGTGTTAAATGTGTTAAAGTGCTCTAAAAGCTGTTTTCCTGTCTGGTATTGATCATGTTAGATATATTCTGATGTGCTTTGTCTCTAAGTTGTTAGCTGTGTGAGCAGGAGCTGAGTCTGAGCGCTTTAACCACTCAAACTGAAATGGAGACCCAACTAAACAACTCCTGGACCTGCAACAGCAACGCCGTTCAGGTATTTTGATGAATATATGTTTATTTTCTCCTCTCTTTTCCTTTGCGCTGCGTTAGCTCACCTGCTGAATGTGGCTGAAAGAGCTCAGTCATGAAAGACTAAAAGAGCTAACAGGGTTAGTTTCCTGGACTAGGATTAGGCCTAGTTTTGGACTACTTAATCCTTTCAAAGGATAATCTCCCTTTAGAGTGTAGTCTAGGACTAGGCTTAATCCCTGAGCCTAGATATGCTGAAGTAACAAACACTAACAATGCCAGGAGAGCATAAAATAAGATAGAAGTGCTGAGCTAAATGCTAACAATAAAGACAGAAATGCTAAAGGGAGCTACAATGCTAATTTTAGAGCTAGAAAGGGAGCTAAAACGCTAATAATAGAGATGGAAGTGCTAAAGGGAGCTAAAAAGCTAAAGCTGTGTTTGTCATCTGAAACGCAGCTTTGGTTAAATTGAACCATTTATTGCTGATTAAACGGTGTAAATGGTCACTGCCTGCAGAGGGAATAAGCAGTTTGCAGCTCAAGCTAATTTAACATAGCGTATGTTTTTGTGAATCAGCCACCTTGAACATCTTAGACCCCCAGAAATCGAGCTTATGAAACCAGCTCACAGACGCTGGTCCACACTGGAGGCTTTAAGGCAGTTCACTGTATTTCTGAGCTGAACTGTTTGTTTAGGATCTGCTGAAGGAGCTGAAGGACAGAAACAGTGAGCTGCAGAGCCTGAAGGACCAAAGAGAAGAAATCAGCCAGCAGATCCACCTCGAGTAAAACCGCACACCACAGCAGACGCTGAGCGTGAGGAACACTGTGTGTACATGTGTGTAGATGATTCTGTGTTCGTGTAGTCGTGAGGAGATGGACCGCAGGACGCTGCTGCTGCTGTACATGGATGAAGGCCTGATGGACGCTCTGATGAAGCTGGACGCTGCCAGGAAAGAAAAACAGAGGCTGGACCAACAGATCCATGAGCTGAGCACCAGGTTTGGCCACACAGCAGCGTGTTTATAGATAACCATGTGCCAGAATCCACATATGCAAGTCTCTTATTGGGAATTCTTCATTCCACCTTAAATGCTGCAGCATTTAAGGTGGAATGGAGAATTCCAACAAGAAGCTGGAAAACATGAAGCCTTTTTGCAACTTCTTTGCACTTTTTTGCTGAACTGTCGCTTTAAGACTGTGATGGAATATGAATTATGAATATTCCACCTGGTACTCTATATTACAGAACCACAAAGCGGAGTAAAGTCTCTCTGCGCGATCTGCAGAAACAGGAGGCCGCTCTGCTGGAGGAGGAGAACCAGCTGAAGCTACAGCTAGAGAACCTGAAGAAGGCTTTAGAGGACACTCATAAGGACACGCAGAAAGGTGGCGCTCTTTATAGGCAGTCAGTGTTTACTGTAGGTCATTTACATTGTGTGCATTAAAGGGGAACTCCACTGATTTTTCAGAATTCCTCCATAATTAAGTGGTTCAGATGTAAACAGAGTCATTCAGAGTGGTTTGGTGTGAAACGCTCTGTTCTAGATAAACTTACTGAGTCAGAACTGTTCACAGTGGTGGTGATAGGAACCAGACGTCCACCTCTAAAAGCTCCCTCACAGAAAGTTACTACATGTCTGAGACACTGTTTAGACACTTAAAAAGATGGTTCTCCAAGGGTTCTTTTGTAATAGCAATGGTTGTATTTAGAACCATGAACCATTTTATGCTTAAATTGTTCTCTGCATGGTGAAATGGTTCTTCAGATTTATGGTGAATGTGTTTTATATGGCTCTGTATAGCACCAAAAAGGGTTCTGCTGTTGTGACGATGTCAAGCATTTAACAATAGAAGAACCTTTTTATAGAACCATTTTAAAAAAGGATCTATTTAGAACCATATACAACACATTCTGCATCAATCTGAAGAACAATTTCACCATACAGAGAACCATTTAAGCATGAAAATGAACATATATATATATATATATATATATATATATATATATATATATATATATATATATATATATAAATAAATAACTTTCACTAAAGAATTTTTGTTTTAGAGTGTGTACGATAGTTTTGAGAAGACTTTGGCCTTAAACTCCATTCATGGTGGAGGGATACATGCAGGGCACTGTGAGGCAAAATAGTCCTCAAAGAAAACTTATTATTTCAGATTTTCCACTATTTTCCATCATCAACATTCCATATAAACTCAGAAGACTCGTGTAGGTTCACTGGTGGTTCTGGATAGTAAATAAAATGTCTATATTTGTGTTGTAGTCATGGCGACCCCTGGTTCCTATCACCACCACTGTAAAGACATTTGAACCATTTCACACCAAACCACTCTGAATCTCTCTGATTACATCTCACACACTGAATTATGGGGAATTTTGAAAGAATTGGTGGGATTCCCCTTTAAACACTGACCATCTCACACCTCGTCTCCAAACAGGCCCTAAATCTCTGGAGGAGAATCAAACTCCACAAACCGACGCCTCTCAGAGCAAGACTGCCGCTAAATCAGGGAGGAAAAGAGCAGCTCGCAAATAACACGGCTTTAGTCCGTCTGAGCTCTCTGAGGATCATCTGCACACTTTATTTCCTGTTTCCTGTTTCAATAAACTGATTCAAACCAAAACAGTGATCTGTGACCCTTTACAGCATAAAACACACAGGACATTAAGATTAAGACTGAGTGCCCCTTATTAGTCCCACAACGGGGAAATTTCACCTCTGCATTTAACCCATCTGTGCACCGGAGTGGTGGGCAGCCCTATCCACAGCGCCCGGGGAGCAGTTGGGGGTTAGGTGTCTTGCTCAAGGGCACTTCAATCGCGTACTGTCAGCTCAGGGGATCAAACCGATAACCTTCCGGCTGGTTCCCTAACCTCCAGCCCACGACTGCCCCCATATGCAAATATGATCAGAGCTGAGTCACATCATTCAGCAGAAAGACATTAATATCAATACAGTCTGACAAATGTGCTGCATTTCTAACTGCACTGTATGTTTATTTAGTGCTGTTCTTTGTTAATGTATATGAGGAAATCACTGGTTTAGATATGTTGTAAGTCCAGTTAATATCAGCCTATTTTACATATGAGACAATTATTAATGTGTGTAAATGCACTTATAATTATTCCGATCATATCCATTACAGTGTAGTATGAAGAGTTAAACGTCACAGAACTTATTCTGATTGGTCAAAATCAATATGAACATAAAGAAGATGAAGGTAAATAATAGATGAATACTGTTATATACACTATAACGTCTGTTTATGTCCTTCTGTTTAAAATCAGTAAAGTACTGAATTTAATAAGTGATTAAAGCTCACTGTGGTTTCATGTGGATCATCAATCAGATCTGAGATTGATCAGAGATCAGAGGATGAGGATGTGTAATGTGAGGGTGGTGCACACTTAAAAGACGGTTCTTCGAGGGTTCTTTAGTAAAGAAAATGGTTCTGTATAGAACCATGAACACTCAAAGAACCATTTGCATGCCTAAAGAGTTTGTTACCTGGTGAAAAGGTTCTTCAGATCGATGGAGAATGTGCTGTAATGGTCCTATACAGAACCTTTCTGAAAAGGGTTCCATAGAGCACCAAAAAGGGTCTTCTATCGTTACGAGCTTGACATCATAACAGTAATAGAACTATTTTTGGTGCTGTAGAGAACCATATGCATTCGTCTCCTGAAGAACAATTTCACCATGCAGAGACCCATTTAGGCATGCAGATGGTTCTGTACAGATCTCCTGGTTCTACACAGACCATCGTTCTAAGTGCAGTGTGGTGTGGAGAGCAGCAGGGGGCAGTAGCGGCGCCGACCGAGCAGCTGCAGCTCAGAGAAGGAGAAGCAACGCGTGTGACGGGTTGGAGGTTGGTGTTGAGTTTAAAGTTAAAATGAATAAAAATATGAACAGATTTAAACATTAATCTCACAGCTGCACTGCAGCTCAGCTCAGCTCAGCGCCTAATGAGGGTCTGAGACCGAGCAGCCCGAGCTTTGGCGGATAATTAGAGGAACTCTGGTGTGTTTATAGATTAATGAGTGTGACATGAGTCAGGAGAGCAGGTTCAGGGGTTCTAGATTTGGGGGGTTCTCTGACTGTGCAGCAGCCTGAGAGAGTTCAGGGACTCTTTATCCTGTTTTAGTTTCCACAGTGACAGTAGAAAAGCTTTGTGGTGAACCTGATGCTCTGTAGTCCTGTCAGGATGGAGGAGCTGAAGGCTGATGACCAGAGGAGATCAGAGCAGCTCAGTTTGTGTTTTTTAAATATTTAAATTTATTCTAACAGAACTACAGTAGTGTTGCTGGATCACCTCAGATATTCAATTATCTCATTATTAATGAACCAAACACACAGAGCTGTACTGAGTCATTAAGACAGTGGGAGGGACTGCTGTTCCCTCTGTTCCCTCTGTTCTCTCTGTTCCCTCTCTTCCCTCTGTTCCGTCTGTTCTCTCTGTTCTCTCTGTTCCCTCTGTTCTCTCTGTTCCCTCTCTTCCCTCTGTTCCGTCTGTTCTCTCTGTTCCGTCTGTTCCCTCTGTTCTCTCTGTTCCCTCTGTTCTCTCTGTTCCCTCTCTTCCCTCTGTTCTCTCTGTTCCGTCTGTTCTCTCTGTTCCCTCTGTTCTCTCTGTTCCCTCTGTAGCTCTAGATCTTCATTTCTCTCATTTATCTGAATCTGAAAGATCATCACAGTAAAGCTTTAGAATACTTAAAGGGGAAATCCACCCGTTTTTCCAACATATGCATAATTCAGTGTGTGAGATGTAATCAGAGAGATTCAGAGTGGTTTGGTGTGAAATGGTCTTTACAGTGGTGGTGATAGGAACCAGGGGTCACCATGACTACAACACAAATATAGACATTTTATTTACTATCCAGAACCACCAGTGAACCTACACGAGTCTTCCGAGTTTATATGGAATGTTGATGATGGAAAATAGTGGAAAATCTGAAATAATAAGTTTTCTTTGGGGACTATTTTGCCTCACAGCGCCCTGCATGTATCCCTCCACCATGAATGGATTTGAAAAATACGTTGTAACCAGTATCATCAATTTATCTGTTCTTTCTGTTCTCAGAGTTCTGTTCAGATGTGATTCGTCCGTTCTGTCTGTGCTCTTAGACGTCCGTTCTCAGTGATGGCCGGTGTGGAGCAGCGCTCTGTGTTTGATGTTGCTGGAGATCTGAAGCTCACTGATGGACTCAGAGAGATTTCAATTGTGCCGAACCATCAGGAAGACCCCCAGCCCACCCCAGCGCCCCCCATCACAGTCGGTATGTGTTCTGCCTTGTTCATATTTACTTATTTACAGCACAGTGGAACCTTTTTTACAGCCTCAGTACAGTCAGTACATTGTGTATTTAAACCACCAAGGTATTCGACTCTGTATGTCATTCACTGTGGTATTTCTCTTTGTATTTGATTCTCTGTAGTATGTGATTCACTGTGGTATTTGACTCTGTGTTTGACTCACTATAGTGTGTGATTCACTGTGGTATTTGACTCTGCATTTGACTCACTGTGGTGTTTGATTCTGTATTTGACTCACTGTGATGTTTGACGCTGCATTTGACTCACTGTGGTGTTTGACTCACCGTGGTGTTTGTGTGCAGGTGTTCCTGACGAGACCCGGAGGAAGGAGGACACTGTTTTCGGGGGGGTCTCGGACAGGATGCTGTGCTCGGCGTGTCAGTGTCCGTTTGAAAGTCGTGAAGAGCAGGTAGCCGATCCTCCACTGATACGGCTGGTCTACCTGTTTCATCTGCACCAGTGTTTAGTTTTTAATTATGTGAAAAAAGGAGCTTTAGTTTCATTTTCATTTCAGTTTCAGTTTTGATTTTTAGAATTGCTCAAAGTAAAATTCCAAACTGAACTGCTAAATTAGCCCAACAACAGATTCAGCTCGGCCAGGTTCCTCCTGGTGTTTAAGGTGTGATGTAGATATACGGCCTTCAAACACTCAGAACACAGAAACTGAAGTGCTTCTCTCAGTAAAACATTTCAGTCTTTTGTTGATGACAGTAGCTCTGTTTGTCCAGATGGAGCACTATAAGCTGGACTGGCACCGCTTTAACCTGCGGCAGCGCCTGGCCGGACGGCCCTCGCTCTCCGTGGAGGAGTTTGAGAAGAAAACAGGAGCAGGTGCGTTTATTTACCTTCATCTCCGTTTATCAGATAAATCATCATGTTCAGTGCAGTGAGAGATTCAGGCTGAATGATCTTCAGGAGTTTCTCTCTGAAGGTCTGCAGATCCTGGAGGGGGAATTTCACAGATCAGGAGTGAGGGCTGCTGCTAATTTCAACTATTTGACCAATTAGTCAGTTAATCTAAATCATTCATTTTCCTCCAGAAAGTCATGTTATGGATTTCCCTACACAAACAAATGAGCTCAAAATAATGGCAGAAATAAAATAATTAGATAAGGTTGCTGCTGTGGTGGACGAGGCTGAAGTCGCTTCCTGTTCGCCAGCTTCTTGTTGGAATTTTCCCGTTCCACCTTAAATGGTGCAGCAGTTATTACTACAGTGTCTGAGGCACCTGAATGTAACTGCTGCCCCATTTAAGGTGGAATCTGAAATATTTCCACTTTCAACGCTGCGGCTCTTTGGACACTTTCAGAAACCACTTTCACAGCCCGGTCAGAAACCGAGCCGCCATGATTTAAACACCGCAGTATTAAAAGGAGCCACAGCGACTGACGTCGTGCACCAGCAGTTACGTAGCTGTATTGAAGAAGAGGGTTTGTTATTTGAATTAACGTGTAAGCTGAGAGGGTCTTGAGTTGAACCCCACCTCGTCTTGTTGTTTATATTTCTTGTGTGTTTGTAAACAGGCGACCTGTCCAGCATCTCGGGCTCGGACTCAGAGGACGACGAGGAGGACGGTGGTGATGGTTGCCATGGTGATGAGGTGACCCCCGAAGGGTCGGATGGTGGCCGGCTGTCCAGCAGGGTGATTTTCCAGAACTCTGAGGGACAGTACGTGTCCCTGTACCGCTGTACACTGCAGGGCAGCAGAGTGAGTACCACCAAGGGAAAGTCCACCCATTTTTCATAATCCTTCCATAACTCAGCGAGTGAGATGTGAACAGAGAGATTCAGAGTGGTTTGGTGTGAAATGGTTCAGATGTCTTTACAGTGGTGGTGATAGGAACCAGGGGTCGCCATGACTACAACACAAATATAGACATTTTATTTACTATCCAGAACCACCAGTGAACCTACACGAGTCTTCTGAGTTTATATGGAATGTTGATGATAAAAATAGTGGAAAATCTGAAATAATCAGTTTTCTTTGGGGACTATTTTGCCTCACAGCGCCCTGCATGTATCCCTCCACCATGAATGGAGTTTAAGTTCTCTAAACTATCATAAAACAGTGTCTCAGTCATCAGGCAGTGAATTCATAACCATTTACTGTAGGAACTTTCTGTGAGGGAGCTTTTAGAGGTGGACGTCTGGTTCCTATCACCACCACTGTGAACTATTCCGACTCAGTAAGTTTATCTAGAACGGAGCGTTTCACACCAAACCACTCTGAACCACTCTGATTACATCTTAACCAGTTAATTATGCAGGAATTTAGAAACCTTGGTGGAATTAGCCTTTGAGTGTGATTGAAGCCGTAAATGTATACACTGTACTGTATGTGTTTTCAGACAGACGCTGAGGTGAGCCTGGTGGACTCTCTGCTCAAGATTTCAGACAGGACGGTGTGGGTGATCCTGATGACCGGTGGGGGTCACTTCGCTGGAGCTGTGTTTCGGGGGTCAGTGCAGATACTGAGTGCAGGAGAGACACATATGCACATATACAGTAAATACTATCTAAAGCTGATTTGTATCAACAAATCAAATATAACAATTTCTACATAAACATATTTTAACCCTGTCTTTATCCATTACAAGCAAACTGAAATATGTAAATGAGTTCTGTTCTGATTAGCTGTTCTGTGTTGTGCCTGTTGTGCCTGGTTGGGGCTAAACTGCTGTAGGCTGAATGGGCGGAGCTAAACTGCTGTAGGCTGAATGGGCGGAGCTAAACTGCTGTATGTGCTGCTAATGACGTTGTTGTGATGTTACAGTAAAGAGATTCTGCAGCATAAGACGTTTCACCGCTACACAGTGAGAGCTAAAAGAGGAACAGCTCAGAGTCTGCGCGACGCCCAGAACCGCAGCCACGCCCCCAAATCTGCAGGAGCCGCCCTCAGGAGATACAACGAAGCTGCGCTGCTCAAGGTGATAAAGCTTTAACATCATTTCCTCAACAGTGAAACTGCTGTCCTTCTGTGTTCTTATAAAAGAGCTCTGAGGGGCACTAAGTGTTTCATTTTACATGGTGTGGATTATATAAACGTTATAGAGCGCTTTTATATGAAACAATAGAAGTGTGTTAGTCTGTCAGAATGACCTGTAATCATTATATTACTTCCCTTTTACGTTGTTTTTGTTTGCACATGCGTTCGTATTTCTTCAGGACATTCAGGATCTGCTGAAGAGCTGGGCTGAGTATTTGAAGGAGGCGAGCTTGATCTTCCTGCGAACTCCGAAGTATAACAGGAGCGTGTTTTTCGGAGGCCGTGGAGCGCCGCTGGAGAAGAAAGACCGGAGAATCCGTTCACTTCCGTTCGCCACTCGCAGAGCCACTTTCAGTGAAGTACAGCGCGTCCACAACGTCCTCTCAACGCTGCACATCTACGGTGAACAGCTCTCAGTCTGCTCTGCTCTGCTTCTTTATAATGCTTTTACTTATGATTAGTGTCCTGCTCGTCTGATTTGCAGGGTTTGGTTTCAGTGATTTCTGCTGAATTTTGTAAAATGTTCCTGAGTTTGAAAAAGACTTTAATAAAACTTAACAACAATAATAAGAAGAACCAAACTGTATCTATTATGAATGTAATGTTTGTTTAGTATGAATGTTATTATACTTAACAATGTCATTCAAACCTACTTTAGTAGTACATGTAACTGAGTACATATAACGCATCACTCACAACCCCTGAATAACACTAATAATTGTTTGTGTTATTACAGGTAGAAACACAGATATTTCCAGTATCTTCAGTTCGAGTAAGAAAGTGTGGCAGAGAAAAGCTCCGAATCCAGCAGCTCAAACTCCTCAAACAGCACCAGGTCAGTTTAACTGCCCAGACGGCACCGGGCAGGTTTAACCCCTCAAACTGCACCGGGCAGGTTTAACCCCTCAAACTGCACCGGGCCGAATTAACTCCTCTAACTGCACTGGGCCGGTTTAACTCTTCAGATGGTTTAACTCCTCTAACTGCACTGGGCCAGTTTAACTCCTGTTGCTCACTTTTTCCTGCTCACTCTCAGTGATGTCATGTCATGATCATGAAAAATTAGCTGACAGTTAATTGCCAGATAAACGACTGTGATTAACAGTTTGTCTTTTTTTTTGTTAACTGTCTTTAACGGTTAAACTGGCTGTAGATAATCAGCAGCTCCCAACTGATGAGTTCTACCTTCTTATTCGAACTTCTGTTGTTTTTGTAAGAACCTCTTAGCTGTTGTTGTAAGACTTATGATGCGTCTCCTCAAACAGGTTTACTTTTATTTGCCTCGACCCAAATAGTGAACACATCCAGTTCGTATTTTTACTGGAGGGCAGTGTTCATCAGGCTGTGGGGCGTCTATATAAGCCTTCGGTGATAACTGACATAAACCTTTATAAGCATTTATAAAGGGTGATTCCAGCAATCTTTAGTAGTCTTAACAGTTTCTGAGGTAAACTAACTGGACTCAACTGGAATCAGCCATAATAAATGTTTATGTACGATTTTGTCAGTTGTCATTGAAGCCTTATGAACACTGACCTGTTACCATAAAAGCTTATGACCATGGAGAGTAACCATGTTTAAAACTGCAACTAATATCATCATATAAAATACCATGTACTGTGATTTTAAAGATGCTCTTCATAATATCATCATTGTGTAAAATCACAATATAATCTTCATATATAACTGATATGCATGTTGTGCAGGTCTGGATGAGCTGTGTGATGTAACTGTGCTGTTCTCTGTGTTTGTAGAGGAGGATGAGGAGCAGAGCTCAGACGATGAAGGCTCTGTAGAGCTGGAGATGGTGAAGATGACGTTAGACACGCTGGATCTGAGAGAGTACGAGGTGAAGCCCAACAAGAAGAAACAGAAGAAAAAGAAAGAGAGAAAGAAAACAGACGGTAAAGTAACAACGCTGACCTGTTCAAATGAATGAAAACGTTTATATTTCTCAGAAAGAGACTTTTAACTCCTCATTATATTTACGTTTGTAAAATTAATGAATATAAAACCAAAAATTATTACAGAAATAGATTCCAAACCTTTGAACAGTAGTGTGTAGTTTGAGTGAATCTCATTTATTCTGTTGATGTCTGGCCATAGACTCGGGCAGTGTGGTGGAGGAGGAGGTGCAGGACGTAGCTGTGGTCACTCAGGAGGCTGCAGAGAAACCTAAAGCCAAGAGAAAACCCAAGAGCAAAGACAGAGGCCTTGCAGAGGAAGGTGCGGCGCTCTCTCAGTCTGAGGTGTGGGAGTACAGTGTGAGGGACGCTCTCTACACCGCCTGCAAAACAGGAGACGCCACCACCCTGCACAGCCTGCTGCAGCTGCCTGAGTCTCCAGCAGAGCCTGGGGGTCCGGGGGTCTCTCTCAGTCCCCTCACACTCCTCAGCACCCCCATCAACTCCGCCGGGTTCACTCTGCTGCACGTGGCTTCCGCTGCAGGACAGAAGAACATCGTCAGACTGCTGCTGGAGGCAGGAAGTGACCCGGCCTGCAGGTACAGAACACCTTTACCTCTCCTTTACCTCCTTTAAACCCACCTTTATCTCACCTTAACACGACTTTACCTCACCTAGAGACACCTTTACATTACTCACACACAGGTTTACCTCACCTAAACCCTCCTTTACCTCCTCTAAACGCACCTTTACCTCACCTAAACCCACTTTGATCTCGGTTTGATCTTGCCACGATCTTGCCTCAGTCTCACATTACCCTCTATTCAAGTCCAGCTTAAAATGTAAAGATATAAATGTTTTGTAGTTAATAAGGTAAGGAATGCTATTTAAAGAAAACATTTTAAACATGTTAAAACATTTTGAAAAGCAAAGTGTTCCCAGACTTTCCACTGGCAGTGTGTTTATTTGTTGAGTGTATGTCTGACTGTAGGTCTTACAGCTGGTGTTCCGGTGTGTGTTTTCCGGTGTGTGTAGGGACAGTAAAGGTCAGACTCCGTATGCAGTCGCTGCAGAGAAAGACACCCGGAACGCCTTCAGGAAGTTCATGGCTGACCATCCCGACAAATATGACTACGCAAAAGCTCAGGTACTGCAGAGCACTCTCCACAATCACACACAGTACAAGCCTTACAACTCCATTACCTGCTCCAGGCTCCGCCCACAGATGTGTTCTTTTATAGCTACTGCTGTGATGTTTAAGTTTTACAGAACACTGGTAAAAATCCCCATAAACCTAATGAGAAACTGTAGAACAGACTCAGTTTATATCACAATACCTACATTTAGAGTCGGTTATTCATTCAGCCTAATGAGAAACTGTAGAACAGACTCAGTTTATATCACAATACCTACATTTAGAGTCGGTTATTCATTCAGCCTAATGAGAAACTGTAGAACAGACTCAGTTTATATCAGATTTGGGTCGTTTCCACCCTGTAGTGTGAACGTAATCCTGTGCTGTGGTTTTGTTTAGTTAATCTTTAGTTGTTAATAACTGATGTGAGAGCTACTAACAGTGCAGTGAATATGGTTCTTTATCCTGAAGGTTCCTGGACCTCTGACGGCTGAAATCGAGAGTAAGAAGGCGGAGAAGAAGAAAGCACAGAGAGCAGCGAGGAAACAGCGAGAGAGAGAGCAGAAAGAGGAGAAGAAGAGAGAGGAGGAGGAAGAGGAGGAGAAGAGGAGGTTTTTATCACTGAGTGACAGAGAGAAGGTACTGCTGGATAAAAACAGATAATCAGACCATCAGTACTGTCAGAATATGATTTGAGGTGCAACAGTAACTATTTTTTTGTTTTGTGTGTGTAAATAATCTCCTGTTCTGTTCTACACATTGGTTTAACTGCTGCCTTACAGTTCATTAAACCCACATTAGTGAACCTTTGATGGTGAAAATGGTGTAAATTGATTAATTGAATTGATTAAACTATCATTTTAATTCTGTCTCCTTCATTGCTGTATTTTGTGTTGATGTGCTGTATGTTTATCTCAGAGGGCTCTGGCTGCAGAGAGGAGACTGGCAGAGCAGGCGGCTACAACAGGAGTAACACTGACCAACAGCAGGTACACTCTCACTGACCGACGGCAGGTACACTCTCACTGACCGACGGCAGGTACACTCTGACCGACGGCAAGTACACTCTCACTGACCGACGGCAGGTACACTCTGACCGACGGCAGGTACACTCTCACTGACCGACGGCAGGTAAACTCTCACTGACCGACGACAGGTACACTCTAACTGACCGACGGCAGGTAAACTCTCACTGACCGACGGCAGGTACACTCTCACTGACCGACGGCAGGTACACTCTCAGTGATCGACGGCAGGTACACTCTCACTGACTGACAGCAGGTACACTCTCACTGACTGACAGCAGGTACATTCTCAGTGATCGACGGCAGGTACATTCTCAGTGATCGACGGCAGATACACTCTCACTGACCGACGGCAGGTACATTCTCACTGACTGACAGCAGGTACACTCTCACTGACCGACGGCAGGTACACTCTGACCGACGGCAGGTACACTCTCACTGACCGACGGCAGGTACACTCTCACTGACTGACGGCAGGTACACTCTCAGTGATCGACGGCAGGTACATTCTCAGTGATTGACGGCAGGTACACTCTCACTGACCGACGGCAGGTACATTCTCAGTGATCGACGGCAGGTACACTCTTACTGACCGACGGCAGGTACACTCTCAGTGATCGACGGCAGGTACACTCTCACTGACCGACGGCAGGTACACTCTCACTGACCGACGGCAGGTACATTCTCAGTGATCGACGGCAGGTACACTCTCACTGACCGACGGCAGGTACATTCTCAGTGATCGACGGCAGGTACACTCTCACTGACCGACGGCAGGTACACTCTCACTGACCGACGGCAGGTACACTCTCAGTGATCGACGGCAGGTACACTCTCAGTGATCGACGGCAGGTACACTCTCACTGACCGACGGCAGGTACACTCTCACTGACCGACGACAGGTACGTTCTCACTGACCGACGGCAGGTACGCTCTCACTCTCCCACAAGTGTTTGTGCTGTCCTCACGAGATTACTAGTTTGATCCCCGGTGATACCACAGCCCTCCATGTTCGCGAGTCCGAAAGTAAATTTCAGATTTCATGATGTGTTTATGATGGACGATTTAGCCGAGTGGTTGTGAGGTCACAGATTTACGTCCTGTGTTTGGTTGCTGCAGGCGGTGTTGTCAGTGTGGAGAGTCGTTGTTGGGGAAGATTCCGTTTGAGTATCTGAATTTCTCCTTCTGCTCACCGCGCTGCGTCCAGGCCCACCGAAAAGCCAATGCTGCAGCCCGACCCTGACCAGACCCTGACCATAAAGTAACTACAGAGTGACCGCGGTCAGAACAGAACCGGACTGGAGGAGTCATGTCTTACTGCCACACAAGGAACTGGTGCTGCTTCCTCCATCGCTGCTGTTGATCAGCACAGCGGGAGGAGCTGATTTTATACACACTGCCTGATAAAAGTTTGGGGACTCGCCTTCTTTAAACTGCCCTTTAAACTGTCCTTCTTTAAAATGTCCTTCTTTAAACTGTCCTTTAAACTGTCCTTCTTTAAACTGTCCTCAGTAATGTTTGATTTTTTTTTTTTTTCTTTATAATATTGAAAATCTACAGCTGTGTAGCCCCGCCTATTCAACCTACAGCGGTGTAGCCCTGCCCGTTCAGCCTGGTGCAGTTTGACCCCGCCCATCCGGCCTACAGCAATTTAGCCCCACCCGTTCAGCATGCTGCAGTTTAGCCCCACCCATCCGGCCTACAGCAATTTAGCCCCGCCTGTTCAGCATGCTGCAGTTTAGCCCCGCCCATTCAGTTATAAGGAGCAGAACTGCTTTTTGAATGAGACAGAATACAGAATAGCCAATCAGGACAGAGCTCATTTACATCCACATGCAGAGGAAAAATACAGCAAAAATATAGAAAATGGGTTCTTTAACTAAGGAAACGTGGTGATTTGTATTAAACCGTTTTGAAAAGCAAGGAGTAAACGAACTTTTAATGGGCAGTGTGAATATTAATTATGCAATAATGATCAATAATAACTGTGTTTAATGTGCAGAGGTGCAGATAAAAAACACACTAATGAATGATGAACAGTGATGGTTAATGAAGTGCAGCACTGTAAGAGTCTGTAAAAGTCCATCATCAAAAATGAGGAATATGAGGACAGTAAAGTGTATTAATGTAAAGCTCTGAGCAGTAAATTATGATTATATTGTGGGTTTTTGATTCTCAGGACCTGAACTACTTTAACAATGAACTGAAAATAATAAATATAACAACGATGGAAATGTGAAGTGATTGTTTTCTGTGTTCAGTCATCATTTTCACTCTTTTCTGTTCAGTCTTTTATTTGAAAATCATGCCGTCATTTCAGCGTTTTAAAAAACAACATTCCACATAATGTATTTTACAGCAATGATACTGAATATCAAATCACACGTCAGGCGGTCAGAGCAGCACTGCTTTACTCTAAACCTTTATATTTCCTGAGTTATCAGTTGGTCACCATTAGGGGCTCTGTGGGGGGTGTGGGGGGTCTAAGACTTTCTGCCCTTTAATCAAAATCCTAAATAAATGGTCTGTACAGTAACGGTTTTAGCAGAAAGTGCAAAAACAACAAATCAGCGAAAAACCAAATTTTCTCCCTTAAACACAAACACAGTCCATCAGCCAAGACCCGTTAACGAACACGTTACTCGGGTGATTAATTAGTGTCTGTGATCTTCACAGCTGTGAAACTGCCTTTATGGTTTTGTTATTGCTGTGAAGCCTTTAGCCTGCTAGCAGAGTAAAGAAGGTGGATGATCAGTCGTATAACAGACGGAGCTGTCTGCTGAACTGAACCCAGTCTGTTCTGAACTGGTGGGTAATTTCCAGCATTTGCCTTCCAGTATGTTCGGCTTTGAAAAGGGAAATGTGTCAGATCACAATGATTTCTGGGTAATTTCTGTAAGTTCAAGTCGACCCTTGTGTTCAGAGCTGCTCCTCTGAGGCCTCATCTAATAACGAATAATGAATAAACTTCACTTCAGATAACAGAGTAAAAGATCGGCCCGTAAAAGTGTCGTAACAGCTCCACAGGGTTTGAGGCGAGAGGCTGAAGTCGGCCTGTTCACCAGCTTCCTGCTGGAACTTGCTGGTCCACCTTAAATGGTGCAGGAGTTACATTCAGGTGCGTTAAACTTCCTGTTGGAACAGGCACACTATTTAAGGTGGAATGGAAATTCCAGCAGGAAACTTGATGCACTGGGATGTAACTGCTGCACCATTTAAGGTGGAATGGAAAATTCCAGTGAGAAGCTTGCTGCACCATTTAAGGTAGAATGGCAAATTTCAGTGGGAAGCTTGCTACACCATTTAAAGTGGAACGGCAAATTCCAGTGGGAAGCTTGACATGCCGGGATGCAACTGTTTGCACCGTACGATGTGGAACGGCAAATTCTAACATAAACCATGATGCGCTGGAATGTAACTGCCACACCATTTAAGGTGGAAAGGCAATTCCAATAAGAAGCTGGTGAACAGGATGGCGACTTCATTGACACGTCTGAGTCAAGTGTAATGATCCAGGCGTGCGGTTAGCACTGTGCTGATTGGTGGGATAAAAGCTTCCGAGTGTCCTGGCTGACCGACTGTGTTTGTATAAGCGGAGGGAATGTGGCTTCTCTGAACTATCGCTTTAAGGAAGTGTACATTCAGCTGTAACCCTGCAGGTGTAAGTGCAGTGTGTGTGTGTTTGGGGGGGTTGTATGTGTTGGAGGGGGCAGGTGGGGTCAGGACTGTGCTCTGGTGTTGTTCAGCTGTGGTCGGTCCATAAACAGCACCCTGCCGTGCGCCGGCGCGTTCTCCAGCTCCAGAACCGTGATGTTGTTGGGGACAGTGGGGCTAAGGAGGGACCCCGGCACATACAGGGTCTGCTGGGGGCCACGCTGGGGCCAATACCGGCCCAGATTCACCCCGTTTATCCACACCTGACCCTGAGAGAGAGAGGGGGGGGGGGTTACACCAAGATTTAATATTACTCTTCCAATAATAATGATGACACTAATAATAATACTACCAATAATAAAACATCTACACTGAGGTCCAAAAGTCTACAAATCTGAGATATTTTGTCATTTAAACCTGGAACTGAGGAAAAACAGTTTTCTGTGATTTGGGCTCTTTAATCCAGATGTTTCCTATCGTCCTGCTGCAGGTGAAGGAGCCTCACCTTGGTCCAGCCGTTGAGTTTGATGAAGGTGTCCCAGGCCAGTCCTGTGGGCTGTAAGGTCCCTGAGTAAACCGCTGGTCCTCTCCCTCCCTCTGATTTGGGCTCAGGAGGAACGTCCATCCACCCGGCCTGCGGCCAGCCAGTGGCTATCATCATATCAATGTCCAGAGAGAAGATCAGCCAATCGGTGAGCACGTCATTACCCAGGATCAGATTACCCAGCAGCCCCTGCACAAAACAACAGAACAGAGTAAACCTTCAGCTTCACTTTCTGCCCCACCCATTCAGCCTACAGTGGTTTAGCTCCGCCCATTCAGAACAAGGTTCTAGAGATGCTTTACAAGACAGCCAATCATAACACAGCTCATTTACATATATCTAATCTCTTAAAGACACAGTAACTGGTTTTGGTATATAAACCACAAAGACGTTTAAGTGGAGCTCAGAAGCAAAAACAAAATTCGAGAAAACCGTAGGATACGGGATACGGATAAGGATAGGTCTTCTTTCAGAACCACCTAGAACCCTTCAGAAGCCTGTATTTGTGAGTGGGAGTGATGAGAGCTCACAGTAACAGTAACACTGCACATACAGCTCATTTCACCGCTTTATTTATTCTCTGTTTGTTTTCTGGTTTATTCTGAAATGTTTCAGTAAAGAAAGTTTCCCATTAAAATAAACTCCTGCCTTGTAGTCGTTGATCTTGTTCCCGAAGTTGACCCTCCCCATGTTCTCCACCACCATGTCCAGCTGATCTCCTGCTCTGCCCGTAACGTTCATCACCAACGTAACGTCTCTCTCCATCACGCCCTGATACACCTGCACACACACACACACACACACACACACACACACACACACAGTTACACAATACAACACACACACACACACACACACACACACACAGTTACACAACACACACTCACACAGTTACACAACACACACACACACACACACACACACAGTTACACAACACAACACACACACACACACACACACACAGTTACACAACACACAGTGACACAACACACACACACACACACACACACAAACCACATACATCAGCACAGATTATTACAAATACTTCATGTTTAAATAGTTCACTCTTTAAAAAGACAGTTCTTTAGTAAAGACACTAGTTCTATCTAGAACCATGAGGGTTCTTTGCATGGTGAACTGGTTCTTCAGATTGATGGAGGATGTGCTGTATATGGTTCTACACTATATTGCCAAAAGTGTTCGCTCGTCTGTCTTCACACACATATGAACTTGAGTGACATCCCATTCTTAATCCATAGGGTTTAATATGATGTCGGCCCACCCTTTGCAGCTATAACAGCTTCAGCTCTTCTAGGAAGGCTTTCCACAAGGGTTAGGAGTGTTTATGGGAATTTTTGACCTTCTTCCAGAAGCGCATTTGTGAGGTCAGACACTGATGTTGGACAAGAAGGCCTGGCTCACAGTCTCCACTCTAATTCATCCCAAAGGTGTTCTATCAGGTTGAGGTGCAGGCCAGTCAAGTTCTACCACACCAAACTCGCTCATCCAAGTCTTTATGGAGCTGCTTTGTTCACTGGTGTTCAGTCATGTTGGAACAGTAAGGGGTCGTCCCCAAACTGTTCCCACAAAGTTGGGAGCATGAAATTGTCCAAAATCTCTTGGTGCTGAAGCATTAAGAGTTCCTTTCACTGGAACTAAGGGGCCGAGCCCAACTCCTGAAAACAACCCCACACCATAATCCCCCCTCCACCAAACTTTACACTTGGCACAATGCAGTCAGACAAGTACCGTTCTCCTGGCACTCCAGAGAACACGTCTCCACTGCTCTAGAGTCCAGTGGCGGCGCTTTACACCACTACATTCGACGCTTTGCATTGCGCTTGGTGATGTAAGGCTTGGATGCAGCTGCTCAGCCATGGAAACCCATTCCATGAAGCTCTCTACGCTGTTCTTGAGCTGATCTGAAGGCCACATGAAGTTTGGAGGTCTGTAGCGATTGACTCTGCAGAAAGTTGGCGACCTCTGCGCACTATGAGCCTCAGCATCCGCTGACCCCGCTCTGTCTTTTTACGTGGCCGACCACTTCGTGGCTGAGTTGCTGTTGTTCCCAGTCGCTTCCACTTTGTTATAATACCACTGACAGTTGACTGTGGAATATTTAGTAGTGAGGAAATTTCACAACTGGACTTGTTGCACAGGTGGCATCCAATCATGGTACCACGCTGGAGTTCGCTGAGCTCCTGAGAGCGACCCATTCTTTCACTAATGTCTGTAGAAGCAGTCTGCAGGCCTAGGTGCTCGGTTTTATACACCTGTGGCCATGGAAGTGATTGGAACACCTGAATTCAATGATTTGGATGGGGGAGTGAATACTTTTGGAAATACAGTGTATATAGCACTAAAAGGGTTCTGCTATTGTTAAGCTTATATCAACAGCAGAACCCCTTTTGGAAGAACCATGGAAACCATGGAATGCTTGTGCTAATAGGCTAGTCCAGGGGTGCACAGCTCCAGGCGTCCAGTACCGCCCACTGAAACACAGCCACTAAACCAGGCAGGTAACAGAGGAGCGTAACCAGGTGTGTCTGAGCAGGTAAATCTCAGAACTGTGCTGGACACGAAGCTGAGCATCAAGCTAAAACACTGCCAGGGAGTCTCTGACCAGAGTAGAGTTTCTTTTTATTTGGGTCAAAACTTACAGAGTTTGGGTCCAAAACACAAACCACAGGTTTAGCATTACGCTAAGTGCTCACTTAGCCAAATACAGACTAATAATGCTAACTCTGTCATAACACTAACAGAACTGTGGGTAACAGCGCTGACAGAAACTCACCCCGTTTACGGACACGTATGCGCGGTCATGGATGCCGTTCATTGGAGAGATCAGAGGGGTCGGTTCTGGAAGGTTCCGGGGCAGAACAGTCCGGTACAGCATGAATCCATAATACTGCAATAATATTCAGAGCAAAGGAAGTGAATTTTACAAAGAAGTAATATTTTCTTTGAGATGAGATTCAATGTAGGAAAGATTCTATAAATACAATTATTATTATTACTATTATTATTATTACTATCATCAGGATTATCATTATTATTATTATTATTATTATTATTATTATTATATTCGACTGATATTACAGAGAGCTGCAGTATGCACATGAGCTTCTGACCAATCACAGTGCTCGATTACAGTGTGCTGTGATCATCCTGACCAATCACAGCTCCGGGTGAGTTTCTGATAAATACAGTCAATCAAAAGAAAATTAATTTAGTTAAAGTAAATTTGGTCACATTATTGTAAATTAATGTATTTATAGTATATCACAGTATGCAGTGATATGATCTCAGTACTCAGTTCACATTGCGCAGCTGAATTATACATATTACAGGTTCTAGATAACCCAAGACCTGATATACTGCAGTGCAGTGAGGTGTTATTAGGGCAGCGTGTCTGAGGATCAGACTCAGTCTGAGGGTTTTACAGTGAGTTCAGTTCATTATTATTAATTATCTTACGTGCTTCATCTCCTCGAACGTGAGCGGATGGTGAGACTGGACGGGACCCTGTGGGCACAGCGTGTCCAGTAATCCACTGATGTTACCCACCTGCGACAGACAGAGGGGTTTACAGATTAAAGAGCCTGTACGGTTCTCTACTAATAATGTCTGTGTGGTTTTATTTTACTAAAGAGCCATAATTCATTTCTACATGATCATTTTTGTTGTAGTGTCTTTAAGACAGATATATGTAAATGAGCTCTGTTCTGATGGGTGGAGCTAAACTGCTGTGACTGAATGGGTGGAGCTAAACTGCTGTAGACTGAATGGGTGGGGCTAAACTGCTGAATGGTTGAAGCTAAACTGCTGTAGGTTGAATGGGTGGAGCTAAACTGCTGTAGGTTGAATGGGTGGAGCTAATCTGCTGTAGGCTGAATGGGGGGGCAAAATGGGTGTAGGATAATGGGCGGGGCTAAACGGGTGTAGGCTTAACGGGCGGGGCTAAACAGCTATACACTCAATGGGTGGGGCTAAACTGCTGTAGGCTAACGGGTGGGGCTAAACAGCTATAAGCTTAATGGGTGGTGCTAAACTGCTGTAGGCTGAATGGGCGGGGCCGAAGTTGGGATCTGATCAGTATCTGGGTGCTGAAGCTCCATCTAATCAGAGTAAATTTTAATCTCCACTGTCTGATCACAGTGATTGGATCCATAAAGCTCCATATTCACTCACCTTCTTCAGAGTTACGAATCCATACGCCATCTTCGGGGAGGCTGGAGGCATCGGGCCCACCGGAATGTCCCGGAACTGACACACAGCGTTACTGATTAGGTCTCAGATCGATTAACCCAGAACTTTACAGAGCACACGCCCCCTAAAAAGGGGTGTGTTTAATAACAACACCAACCTGTGCTGCTGATTTACTGTCATACTGTTTCCTGATTAACACATTTGGTGTTAAATATGACCCAAACTGTGTCGTCTCTAATTAAACACACTGACGTTTTCATACAGATCTGTTTTAATAGTGTGTATTTAATATTTGATATCACACCTAAACAGCGCTTTCTCAGATTAACGCTGTGCTGGTTTGTGTATTTCAGGCCGTTTCTCAGTTTTTCCCTCTGTATTCTGACTGTATTTAACCTCATTTATCTTTACTTACTTTATTTTCTTCTAATGTGAGTAATTTTGGTCATTTTTGTTCTGTATTTGGGTTTTTATCTCTTAATCTTTTTAAAATGGACTTTGGAACATTATACAATATTCTTCAAAAATAAAAATGTTAAAAATATCTAGTAAAATTTATATTTCGCTGCTGTCAGAACGAAACCTCGTACCTCCATTTTCGTAGTTTTTCAGTTTTTGTCATAATTGGAAAATACCTGTTGTTTTTTACATTGTTTGTAATTTTCAAGATGAATGGACCAAAAGAAACGACCCAAAATTACTTGGAAAAATTCTGGTTCCATTAATTTAAACGCTTGTCTTCTCGTGTTTCTAACTGAGCTCCTGGACTCGCGCTCTGCCTTTCATAAGCTCAGTTTAATAATGATTAAACCCTCAGTTTTTAGCTTCCTTTAATATTTTATTCTGTTTTTATGTCCTTTGTACTTCTGTTTAATTACTTCTTACTATTTTGAAGCTACAGGCTTTTTATTTTTATTATTGTTTTTCATTCTTAAAAACTTTGTCTTTATTTTCTCTTCTGATGATCTTTTTGTTTTTATTAGTGTGAATCACACTGAACTGCTGTATAAATAAACACAGCCCTGTTTTAAAGGCATTAAACTCCTCAGACGTCTGGTTACTATCACCACCACTGTGAACAGTTCTGACTCGGTAAGTTTCTCTAGAACAGAGCGTTTCACACCAAACCACTCTGAACCCCTCTGAACCTCCCTGAACCCCTCTGAACCCCTCTGAACCCCTCTGAACCTCTCTGAACCCCTCTGAACCTCTCTGAACCTCTCTGAACCCCTCTGAACCCCTCTGAACCTCTCTGAACCCCTCTGAACCCCTCTGAACCTCTCTGAACCCCTCTGAACCCCTCTGAACCACTCTGAACCCCTCTGAACCTCCCTGAACCTCTCTGAATGACTCTGAACCTCTCTGAACCCCTCTGAACCCCTCTGAACCACTCTGAACCCCTCTGAACCCCTCTGAACCTCTCTGAATGACTCTGAACCCCTCTGAACCCCTCTGAACCTCTCTGAACCCCTCTGAACCCCTCTGAACCTCCCTGAACCACTCTGAACCCCTCTGAACCTCCCTGAACCACTCTGAACCCCTCTGAACCTCTCTGAACCCCTCTGAACCTCTCTGAACCCCTCTGAACCTCTCTGAACCGCTCTGTTTACATCTGAAGGACTGAATTATTCAGAAAGTTTGAAAAATCGGTGGAGTTCCCCTTTAAAGGAGGTTGTGTTTTTTCAGTAGCTGCTCCAGACTGTGGAATAATTCCCCTCCTAATGTGGGATCTGGATCAACCAGTGCCGAGTTTAAATCTGGCCTTATGGCTTATTATTGTGCCTCAATAGAGTAATTCTGTGTGCCCAGTTATTCTTTACATTCATTTCTATTTTATTCTTCTGTATTATTTCATCATCTTTTCATCTTTTACTGCATTTTGCATTTTTTTGTTTCAACACAGTTTCTGTGTGGTACTGTTACTGTGTTTTCTAAGATGAATCTTGTTTCTGTTTTGTTTCTAAAAGGTTTTATCTCTGTTTTTAAATGTACTCTAGAAATAAACACGATGAGTTTTAATTACACATTCAGTCTGTCTGATCTTATTGAGTGTTGAGTATTACTGTATTATATCATATAAAACATCTGATCTGTTCTTACGTTCTTAATGACGTCTCTGATGGCCAGGAGTTTGTCTGTTGGATCTCCAGCCTCTGACAGAGGGGCGTTGTAGTCGTAGCTGGTGACCACAGAGCGGAACCTGCTGTCATAATCAGCGCCTGGAGGGAAACATTAAACAGTGACCAGTTTCCCCCAGTCGTCCCCTAAAGTGTCGATCAGTCAGGACATGTTGGGTTCAGTTTCAGCCCTGGAGCTACGAGGCTAATGTAGCTAACAGGTAACAGAAGCTTATAACCACCGATTAGCATCGATGCCTAAATCAGCTCACAGTCGCCTCTAATGTGTTCACGAAGTCACATTCTAAGAATGGACCGTCTGAACTGTTTAAGGTGGAGCAGAAAATTTAAATAAGAAAACAGACGAAAACAGGAATCCAACCTCAGCTCTGTGTCTCAGACTGTGCGGAGCTGTTCAGTGACCCCTAACAGACTCTCTGATGTGTGAGGTATGTTAATGAGCGAGAGTGGACAGAGCAGTGGACGCACCGTTCCAGTAGCCGAAGTTTGTTCCTCCTTCAAACATGTACCTGAGGAAAGAGAAATACAGGTGAGTTTAGTCCAAAGAAGCTTTTATAGAAGAGCTGAAGAGCCACAGCTGTGAAAACCCAGCTTCACTCCATGGCGCCGTGTTGTTTTATTGGTTTTAACTTGTTTCCTGTTTGTGTTCTTATAAGTGTAATTGTTCTTACACAGTGTCAGTTTTGTTGACAGTAAATGTGAAACTGGATGTGAGAGAAATGAAACGCTTTTTCAGTTAAACGCTACATCATCTCCGTTATCTTGTGAAGACTCTGATACTAACACTAACAATTTTGGAGGGTTTAAAAAGTATTAAATTAATAATCTGCTTTCCTCAATAACGTGTCTGAAATCTGAACAGGCCCAACTGCACCCAACATCCAGACTGTAGAGAGGAGGCCGCTGCCCCGCCCATCTGCATCATTCACGATTAAAACTGAGTTAGTGTGAGTCTCTCTGTCCTTTTATCTGTCTGTTTGTCCTTCTGTCTGTCTCTGTCCATCTATCATCTATCAATCTATCTTTCTATCTGTGTATCTGTCTATCTGTACATTTGTCTGTATCTTCGTCTGTCCGTCATTCTGTCTCTCCATCCGTCTGTGAGTCCAGTAGTGTGACCCACATGTTGACGCTGGCTCCCAGACTCAGCATGTCCTCCAACATCCTGCTGACCTTCTGAGTCTCTACTGCAGCGTGTTTATCGCCCCAGTGATCCAGCCAGCCGGTGTAGAACTCGGAGTTCACCTGAAACACAGTGGAACAGTAGAACAGCAGAACAGCGGAACAGCGGAACATCAGACATTTACAGCTCTCTCTGCTTCATTCAGTTCAGATTCATCCATTTATTGTTGATTTTATCCAGACGTCTGAGGAGCTTAATGCCTGTGTGGCACTTCTAACCTGCTGATTAGGCTATCATTAGCTTAGCTAACTTGCTAACATGCTACAGCTCCAAACACCACAGAACCGGTTTAATTTCTTCTTTTCTGTCCTTCAGCTCCAGCTGCTCCACTCCACTCCCTCAGATCTGACTCATCTAAACCTGTGTCGGTGCTTTAGTTACAGACAGAATCCAACATGTGGTGAGCAGAGCTGTTAGCATGCTAGCTAAGCTACTGCTGAGCAGCTACTCTCTCCTAGTTAGCAGCACTGTTTAACATTTAGCAGGTGTTAGAATGACGTTTTGAGATGAATGATATGTAGAACCAATCAGTAAATAGTCAGGAATTATTAAAAAACAAGTAAATACCACCCAACATTCTGAATATAAAAGCTCCCTCACAGAAAGTTCCTACATGAAATGGTTATGAATTCACTGCCTGATGACTGAGACACTGTTTTATGGTAGTTTGGAGAACTTAAACTCCATTCATGGTGGAGGGATACATGCAGGGCGCTGTGAGGCAAAACAGTCCCCAAAGAAAACTTATTATTTCAGATTTTCCACTATTTTCCATCATCAACATTCCATATAAACTCAGAAGACTCGTGTAGGTTCACTGGTGGTTCTGGATAGTAAATAAAATGTCTATATCTGTGTTGTAGTCATGGCGACGCCTGGTTTCTATCACCACCACTGTAAAGACATCTGAACCATTTCACACCAAAACACTCTGAATCTCTCTGATTAAAGTGTGTAGACGGGACTCACCAGCGGCCCTTTGGGCTCAAACCTCCTCTGCCGTCTGAAGGCTGTGGTTATATTGGTGTCTGAGAGAAAAGAAAAGGGTGTACAGTCAATAAATACTACAATTTAAACACCTTTCACTAAGAACATCTCCATATCTTTATATGAACATTATAGAGGCTTTTTAAATGAAACAGTAGAAGCCATATCGCCCCCTACACTTCCTGTAGTGTATTACAGTCTGTCAGAGTGACTGTGTGGATCATATGAACATTATAGAGGCTTTTTAAATGAAACAGTAGAAGCCATATCGCCCCCTACACTTCCTGTAGTGTATTACAGTCTGTCAGAATGACTGTGTGGATCATATGAACATTATAGAGGCTTTTTAAATGAAACAGTTGAAGCCATATCGCCCCCTACACTTCCTGTAGTGTATTACAGTCTGTCAGAGTGACTGTGTGGATCATATGAACATTATAGAGCACTTTGTAAATTTTTCCCATATATCATATTTAGTAAACAATGGTACCAAAACAAGTTTTACACAACAACAAAGCACTTTTGGTGCTATATAGAACGGTTTTTCAAATGGTTCTTTAAAGAATCATATACAACAGGCCATTCATGCATTTAAATGATTCTTTGAGTGATCACAGTTCTATGTATAACCACTGCCTTCACTAAAAATCCCTTAGAGAACCACTTTTTAAAGGGTGTAACTGATGTTGTTCAATAATCATTGCAGCCCTATCATATTATTCTATCATTTGAGGCTTTGTATCGTATTTATTTGTATTTATTTGTTAACTCTGTGTTCTCTATACTGTCCCTTTATGAAAGCACCCATATTCACAAACACAAATCCCTCAGTCATGCAGGCATATTTGTCCAGTATAGTGACTGTGAACGCTCAGTGCCTCCTCAGTGCTGCACAGCTGTTTAGAACGCAGCGTCAGGCCTGATTACTGTTTGGAAAATGCTAATATCGGTTCTTGTGACATCAGCAGAAGGTGAGAGAGGTGTCAGCAGTATTCTCAGCCCAGGTTTAGTGTGTGAACCTGCTGGATTACTCATATGGAGAATCCAGTGTGCCACAATACAACTGAACAGACTATTTAAAATGGGAAATATGATCAGGGAATAAAGAACTTCCCTGATTTCAATCAGTTCATTCTCCATTTCCACACAGAGAGGCATTTAAGAGTGTTTCCAGTACTATGATATCAGTACGGTGGCAGATAAACATAGAAAATGATTCTAATATTTAAGTCCTGTCGAACTTCACAGGTTTATTTAATTACAAATGACGTTATAAATAACTATAATATCAGTAGGAAGTGATGTTCAGCAGTGATGAACAGAGCTGTAGACGATCCTACAATGGCTGCTTGAAGTTATAATGAAAGTACTAAACAGTCTCACATTTTAAAAGCAACAATCACATCTTAAAGAAGATGAATCATTAAAGTTAATTAATTTATCATTTAAAACTCCTTGTTGTTGCCAAAATAGTTACAATACCGAACGTGACATCAACAACAGCTTCTGTTGTTTAGTTTAAAGCAGAAATCTTCAAATCTGGACCATGAATCCGGATTCCGGTCCTGGACTTTGTGATCACTGATAGTTAATTGACCTGTTGATGTACTTAGCCACATACTGTCATACTTTCCAGCAATTACAAAACCCTGGACTGGAACCTGGATTCAAACTCTGGATCTGAAGATTTCTCGATTAGAGTATTTATATCTCCACTGTATATTATTATTATTTTATATAAAATAATAAAGGTTATTAATCTGAACAGTGAATCCAAACGTTTGGACACTTTTATAAATTTAATTCCAGTGTATTTTCCGGTTCTGTGACACTCTGGATCCCCTTTACACTCACAGAGGAGATTATATTACTGACCCGTGCCGAAGTCGATGGTGGCGTAAAGTCCCTCCAACGTTCCGCAGATCAGCTCTTTATCCGTGTTTCCGTCTGTGGTGAACAGGACGACGTCCTCACCCAGGAAGACCCGGAACAGCGTCCGCAGGTGACGCAGGTAATTATAATCACACGCAAAGTAGCTGCCGTACTCATTCTCCACCTGAGACACAGCAACAGACACAAACCAACAGACACACATCAAGAGACAGTCACAGACATGCAGCAACAGACACAACCACAGACACACATCAACAGACAGTCACACACACACACACCAGACACAATTACAGACATACAGCAACAAACACAACCACAGACACAACCACACACAACAGACACACATCAAGAGACAGTCACAGACATGCAGCAACAGACACAACCACAGACACACATCAACAGACAGTCACACACACACACACCAGACACAATTACAGACATACAGCAACAAACACAACCACAGACACAACCACACACAACAGACACACATCAAGAGACACTCACAGACATGCAGCAACAGACACAATCACAGACCCAATCACAGACACAGTCACAGACACAGCAACAGAAAATTCCTCCCTTTAAGGGACTCTGAAATATAAACGGATGATCTTTATCTGATTAGTTAGTGTTCCCAGCCACACAGATCACGATTCATCAAATACTATTGTTTAATGAAAACATTATGAGTTTAGCGCTGTTTCTAAAGCGTCTTCTGGTTGTTGATGTCTCTGTGCACCAGCAGGCAATATAATATAATATCAGCAATATGATATTTCACCAATATGATCAGCGAGTTAGCTTTGTTTTCACACCCACACTTTAAAGGGATAGTTTGGTCAAAGCCCCTTTACTCCGAATGCAGTCAGCAGAGACGTGAGTGAAGTCCGAAGTTTTGCTTTTGCTTCATTTTTATTTCATTGTGTTTGATGTATTTCTGTAAGCACTGCAAAAGGGTTAAACATACACCAGTAAATTGTCCAATCAGGATTGCTTTCTTTGTGGTATCTGTGTAGATACAGCTGAGCTGCTCTCCCATTGGTTAGGACTTCAGGAGCTGGACTGAAGGCCTTACACGTTAGATTAACTGCTCACATCATTAGGGAGTGACAGACGAATCAACCAATCAGGCTCTGATTTACACTCTAGTCCTTCTGGATGTTCTAGATATGTCACTGAGTGTAAATACAGGTGGTCATGGTCTAAGCAGTGTCCCGGTTAGTTGTTAGGAATGTTAAACAGTGGCGGCAGCTCTATGCAGGACTCTTTACTGAAAGAGTGACTGTAACACTGATATATGATAATGTTACACACTTCAAATGTCTGTGTTTAATCTAGAATGTCCAAAAAGTGTTCAGGTGCACCACTGTTAGCTTTGCGCTAACATACTATTAGGAATCCCATAGGGGCACTAACAGAAATTAGCATCATCACAGAGGAGCTTTATGCCCAAACTGAAGGTCCAGCTCTACCAGCCACAGCTCTC